GCTTTGTTCGAGAACTCAGCTGCTGCTTCACTACCATGAAACAGTACAGTGCCCGCAACACTATGGACGCTGCACCGATCCACTGGCTGATCTCCCACTAACCATCACTCGTGAAAGAGACTCTGAGATACTTAAACTCCTCCACGAAGGGCAGTTCTTCCCCCCTCACCTGGACACAACAATCCACTGTCTCCCGGTAGCAAACCATGATCTCAGATTTGGGGGTGCTGATCCTCACCCCAACCGCTTCATATTCGGCATTCAAACCGTTCAAGTGCATGCTGGAGATGACAGACTGACGAGGCAAAGAGGACAACATCATCTGTAAAAAGTAGTAATGCTAACTCCATGCCCCTGTACTGAATAATCTCCATAATTCCGTTGCACCTTGATATCCTGTCCATGAAAATCACAAACAGAAGCAAAGACAAGACGTACCCTTGGGGGAGTTCAACACCTACAGTGAACGACTTTGATTTAACACCAATAATATGACGATAGCTCGCACTCCGGGAATAGAGGGACCAGATATCACACAAAAAGCGGCACCGGTACATCATACTCCCGCAGCACCTCCCACATGACATTGTAGGGAACACGGTCATGTACTTTCTCCAAATCTACAAAGCAGAGATAAACTGGAGAAGTATACTCCCATGACCCCACAAATATCTGAGAGGGAAAAGCGCTGGTCCATTGTTCTATGATCATGACATAATCCACATTCTAGATTTGAAGCTTTCGTGACTGCAAGGATTCATACTCTTTGTTTTTTTTCGGTAAAGTCACGTAGGTAAAATAAAAATTAAAGAAAACAATTAAATCACGACGTTTCGGAGGCAACACAAACTTCCGTCTTCAGGTGGAACAGTCACAGCAAGATCGCTGCATCAAGTGGGAAGGCTCTGAGAGCCTCGAGCTTAAATACAGGTTAAAAGGGGGGGTGGGGAGGAGCCAACCAAACGTCCCTCCCTAAAACCGTCCGCTGAAAGACCTCCCAGATTCTATGGTCTTCCCAAGATCCATAAATAAGGTACCCCACTACGACCATTCGTGTCCACGATCAACTCCCCTACCTACAAGCTAACCCGTTTTCTGTCAGATACTCTGCTTCCCTTCACTGGCAAGACCACCTCAGCAGTACTTAACTCAACCCAATTGGTTTCTATGGTCAAAGACTTTGTACTATCTCCTGACGATATCCTCGTCAGCTTTGATGTGGTATCTCTGTTCACCAAGGTCCCAGTACCTGATACCATAACAATAATTGAAGATTTGGTCCAACATGGACTGGACCCTGATGTACCTGCGCTGGTTAGGCACTGCCTCACCAACACCTACTTTACTTGGAATGGCTCCTTCTACAAATAAAATGAGGGTACCCCTATAGGTTGCCCCTTGTCACCAGTGATAGCCAATATTTTCATGGAGAAATTTGAATCAGATGCCATCCAGACATCCACCCTTAGTCCTTCCCTGTGAAAGAGATATGTGGATGACACTTTCGTCATTTGGCAACATGGCCTCCCAGCTTTGAACCATTTCCTAGACCACATAAATTCCAGACACCCATCCATCAAATTCACCATGGAAGTGGAGAAAGATGGCAAGCTGCCATTCTTTGATGTTCTGTTTGAGAGGACTGATGGCTCTTTGGGACATTCTGTTTACAGGAAGACCACCCACACAGATTCCTACTTGAAGCCTGATTCCCACCACCACCCGGCTCAAAAGAATTATCTCATCAAAACATTATACCATAGAGCTAATTGAATTTCTGACCAACACCTCCTGACCAGTGAATTAAAACATGTACATCTAGCCATCAAGATGAACGGTTACTCTGACCATATCATCCACCAAGCTGTTTCTCCCACCATACAGAAACAACCACTTGACACTCCGATCAAAATGATCACACTGCCATACATAGCAGGCGTTACCAAAAAGATTTCCAAAATTCTAAACAAACACAAGATCCAGGTTAGATTCAATACAGTACACAAAATCCGTGATCTGATCCCATCCGTAAAGGATGTCTTCCCTGACTTACAGTAACCCGGTGTTTACAAATTGAGTTGTATCTGCAGTGACTGCTATATTGGGGAGACACGACGGCATATTTCTGACCGAATTCGCGAGCACAAATCAGATTTGAAACACGGCAGAACGAATTCGTCGGCCGTAGCTGATCATTGTCTCAAGACAGCAGGTTCTCATGAGATTGTTTTCTCCGATACCAAAGTACTATGCAAACCTCCCGGTTATTACCAAAGATTTGTCCATGAAGCCATCCAGATATACAAACATAGCCACAACTTCAACCGAGAGGATGGTTTTAAATTAAGCAACCACTGGAAAGATGTCATAAACCAAGTCAAAACTTTAGCTACCTTATAAGCACACAGCACATTCTTTCCGAACTTTTCCATTTTTGTTTCCATTTGATATTGCCCCCATGGAGTGACGCACTGCATCCCCCGCACCATCAACATAACAAAAGACGGATTAACTTAGCCCCGCACCCCATCAATGTCCCCTACTTGGCCCCTCCCACCCCCCCTTAACCTGTATTTAAGCTCGAGGCTCTCAGAGCCTCCCCACTTGATGCAGCGATCTTGCTGTGACTGTTACACCTGAAGACGGAAGCTTGTGTTGCCTCCGAAACGTCGTGATTTAATTGTTTTCTCTAATTTTTATTTTACCTACGTGACTTTACTGAAAAAAACCAAAGAGTATAATCCACATTGATACTCCTGAATCTGAGGCACGACCACCGGACGAAGCCTCATCTCCAGCACTCTGGCATAAGCTTTACCTGGGATGCTGAGGAGTGTGATTCCTCTGTAGTTGGAGCACACCCTCTGGTCCTATTTGTTTTAAATGGGAACAATGACCCCAGTATGAAAACCCAGATATACTGTACCCACCTTCCATGCAACATTGAAGAAGTGTGTTTACCACGACACTCCTACGTACACTGTCCAGCACTTTCAACAACTCGCGATCTGAGCGTGGCTTTTTCACTCCAGCGCTGTCCTCCAGACAGTCTCGTCCCTTCACCTGATGAAGGCCGCTTGTGTTGTGGCCGAAACGTCGTGAGAATATTATTGTGTTATTTTATTTTATCAATTTATTATTTTATTCTCATTCTACGTGACTTTACCGAAAGAACCAAAGAAGATTAATCCTTGCAGTCACGAAAGCTTTAAATCGAAATGATTTGATTACCTTTCCTATACTTTGCTCCCCAGCTACGGTCAGGCCTGTGCTTACCCTATCACTACACCAACCCCTAACACTACTCCTACCCATAGGGGCGCCAAGATAGCAAGGTAATGTTAATTATATTGCCTGGTATACAGGAGGTCGTGAATTCGATCCCGACCTTGATGCCTGTTGTATATTTGGCGTTTGCGTCTCTCTCTCTTCTTCCGTGGTCACGTGGATTATTCTCTGGGTCCTGTACATTTTCACACGACATTGATATCAGCCACTTCGTTGAGCTATCTTTTGTGGTAGTCAGGGTGATTCTGAAAAATAGCTGCACAGCTCAGTGGACCTTACCTCGTAAAAGAAAAATGGTTTAGTTTTCATTTGGCTGCTGCTATAAATTTCCACACGATAAGCCACTTTATTGAGCCATCATTTGTGATGGCCAGGTAGCTTATGACCAAAGAGCTACATTGCTCAGTGGGGCCCTACCACTGAACTATAATCTATAGCAATGGTTCTTAACCATTACTGCAGCCTTGCACTACTTTGGTTCTCAATCATAAAAAAAACATCTACAGTGAGGGAAAAAAAGTATTTGATCCCCTGCTGACAAATAAATGATCAGTCTATAATTTTAATGGTAGGTTTATTTAAACAGTGAGAGACAGAATAACAAGAAAAAATCCGGAAATACGCATGTCAAAAATGTTATAAATTGATTTGCATTTTAATGAGGGAAATAAGAATTTGACCCCTCTGCAAAACATGACTTAGTACTTGGTGGCAAAACCCTTGGTGGCAATCACAGAGGTCAGACGTTTCTTGTAGTTGGCCACCAGATTTGCACACATGTCAGGAGGGATTTTGTCCCACTCCTCTTTGCAGATCTTCTCCAAGTCATTAAGGTTTCGAGGCTGACGTTTGGCAACTCGAACCTTCAGCTCCTTCCACAGATTTTCTATGGGATTAACGTCTGGAGACTGGCTAAGCCACTCCAGGACCTTAATGTGCTTCTTCTTGAGTCACTTCTTTGTTGCCTTGGCCGTGTGTTTTGGGTCATTGTCATGCTGGAATACCCATCCACGACCCATTTTCAATGCCCTGGCTGAGCGAAGGAGGTTCTCACCCAAGATTTGACGGTACATGGCCCCGTCCATCGTCCCTTTGATGCGGTGAAGTTGTCCTGTCCCCTTAGCAGAAAAACAAAGAGCTCAATTTTGGTCTCATCTGACCACAACACTTTCACCAAGTTGTCCTCTAAATCATTCAGATGTTCATTGGCAAACTTCAGACGGGCATGTATATGTACTTTCTTGAGCAGAGGGACCTTGCGGGCGTTGCAGGATTTCAGTCCTTCACGGCATAGTGTGTTACCAATTGTTTTTTTGGTGACTACGGTCCCAGCTGCATTGAGATCATTGACAAGATCGTCCCGTGAAGTTCTGGGCTGATTTCTCACCGTTCTCATGATCATTGCAACTCCACAAGGTGAGATCTTGCATGGAGCCCCAGGCTGAGGGCGATTGACAGTTCTTTTGTGTTTCTTCCATTTGCGAATAATCGCACCACCTGTTGTCACCTTGAAGCTGAGATTAGGAGCACTCCCTTTAAGAGTGTGCTCCTAATCTCAGCTCGTTACCTGTATGAAAGACACTTGGGAGCCAGAAATCTTTCTGATTGAGATGGGGTCAAATACTTATTTCTCTCATTAAAATGCAAATCAATTTATACCATTTTTGACATGCGTTTTTCTGGATTTTGTTGTTGTTATTATGTTTCTCACTGTTCAAATAAACCTACCATTAAAATGACAGACTGATCATTTCTTTGTCAGTGGGCAAACGTACAAAATCAGCAGGGGATCATATACTTTTTTCCCTCACTGTATAATGTTAATAAATACATAGGATTGATGAAACAAAATAGTTGTACTTCCGTGCCCATGCTTAATTTGTCTTTCAATGATTTACCTTCTATAATAATATAGCCATATGCTCTATAGTTTTATATTAAATAACTATACGTGTCGGCCATCAACCTTCCTCCCCCTCCCATTCTAGATTCCTATGACGAGCGCCGCCTCTGCCAGCGCCTTTTTCCGCAGGTGGTGCTCCAGGCAGTGCACCGCCACGTGGTCGACGGCCGTGTCCACCTTGTTGGCGAAGAGATGGTGCTGGCGCAGCACCCACGCCAGGTCGCCAGCGCCATACACGCAGACGTCCCTGACATGGGTGCCTCGGCAGGGCGGATAGGCCGCCCCGCCGCCGGCCACATCACCCTCGAAGGCGGACCACTTGACTAGGCGCGCCAGCGCCGCCGCGTCCGTCACGTCGTGTATCCGGTGCGCGGGCGTTGAGCCGGGCACGCCGGGCATCCGCTGGAGGGTCGCCCACAGGTGCTCGTCGGGGCTGTAGGTATCCCCCGCCCACTCGATGAGGGCCCGCGCTACCCGGGTCACTCAGCACGTGCTCCACGAAGGCGCGCGTCACCACCACATATGCGCTGCCCGCGAACATGGGTGTGGGGATGGGCGGCGGGCGCTTGGTTAGGCCCGTCGAGCGGATCTCGTTGCCCGCCACTTTGTAGCTGAGGGTCCAGCGCGCCCTCTTGCCCCTGGGCATGCGCACTGTCTCCAGACTGTTGCGGCCATTGAGGGTGCGCAGCGCCCGCACCATCTCCAGGTTCGTCTTGATGGGGAAGTCACGGCCGCACAGGTTGATGAAGTACCTCCATGGAACACGCTCCGCCATGGCCACCTGCATCCAAAGTGAGCACGTTAGGGCGTTGTTGTTGCACTATAATGCCATCGTGTTTGTTCGTATGTCCAGTTGCCTGTTTGGACTGAGAGTCGTAAGTTCAACCTCAGCGCAATAGATGGCGGTGGTGGCATCTACATCTGCATGCCATGACGAACCAGTGGCATCTACATCTACAGAACATGAAGAACCAGTGGCATATAAATTAACAGATTATTCCATTTTTAAAGCCATTCCCCATGTTTAGTGTTCATGCCGTACAACATGTTTGGAATCGACAGGAGTAAAGTTAGACTTACGAAAAAATCGACTTACGAACAGACCTCTGGAACCTTACTCATTCGAAGCATAAGAAGTTTAAATGAGTGTAATTTTTCAGAGATACAGCGTGGTATTTGATGATAATCTATATTTAACAGAATTTTTCATTAAATTTTTTATTTTTATTTTGCGATTATGATTTGCTATCATTTTTTATTTATCTTGTCTGTTATTGTTTATTATTGATTTATTTTACTGTGACTTGTTGCATTTGTTGGAGAAGCAGTGTTGTTTTTGTTGATGAAACCCGATTTAAGAGCTTCTTGGCTCACACGCTACTTCAAAATGAACTGAAAATGATAACTGAACATCGCAAAGACAAAAACGTTTCCAGTCGCCATGGATTACCACTAATACTCGCATTTCCTGAGAGCCTCTACAATGATGAAAGTAGCACCCATGAGGCGCCTCAGCAGTGGAGGTGAGAAAAGGTGGTACCAATTTACTCGACCCCTTTGTTGGACCAGGTCCGAACCCAGGCTTCTCTGTAGCTCCTGACGAAGGACACAGGAGGAGCTGGTGTTTGATCACCCCGTCCGAAACGTGCTCATCAATTTTTTATGACGTCACGCGGTTTTGGCCGATTATTTACCCCCCCCTCCCCCCCTCGTCACACGGCGTCACGAAAAGTCAGACCCCACCTCAAATATGACGTCACAAAGCTCTGCCCCTCCCCCAAAAAACATATTTCCATTTTGAAAATAAAACATGCTTCAAATCACTTTAAACTATTGTCATTGTAGTGCGTATTTAATGTGGCGCTGCACTCTGATGTTGTAGGAGAAACATTTATTAAAAAGTATATTTAATTAAGTAGAAGGTGTTGACTATATTTATTAAAACGGAGGCGTTGGAAAGCTGAAATTTAGCATAAATTCACTTGAAAATATTCATCTAACTAAAGCTGCAGATGTTCAGAATATTATATTTAAATTCTCTTATAATTATAAAATATTAAAAGTAATTATAACTATTAAAAAAACTTGAAACTTTGTAGTACATACAATTATAACAATAAAATATTAATTCCACGTAATAAAAAGCCCTGGTAGCATAATAAAAATAAAAATGTTTAAAAACAATAATTCAAAAATTTACAAAATGTATGCTTCTCCATTCTCTCATGGAGAAGCAAAATGCTCCTTCATGGAATAAATAAAAGGTGACCTTAATAAATTTAAATAATAAAATAGTTAATAATGAAGATTAATACAAATTAGTGTTGCTATAATAATTATATTGTTTATATTTATTTAAAGTTGCGCATTTTGATGTGACGTCACATTTCTCAACCCCCCCCCTCCCCCCCTCGTCACACAACGTCACAAATGCCTGACCCCCCTCCCCCCCCCCCCAGGTGTGTGACGTCTTTTATGGACGGCCCCTCATCGGATTTCTCCAGGATAAATAAAGTTTCTGATTGATTCTGAATGAGGCAATCCCTAACAACAACTCTGGCAGGAGAGACTACCAGTTTCTAAAGTTTAGGTGAAGACTCCAACTAGGGTTCACTACATCAGTGGATGGGATGGCGAGGGATCCAGTGAAATCCCGCGAATCTCATGCTCACAGATGCCAAGTTTTTTCGGTTGAGTACCAGCAAAAACGAAGGCGTAGAGAGAAAGACGTCTTGGACATGGCTCACGTTCACACTATGATTTTTGTTTGGGGTGGGGGGGGATAAGGCCAGACCATCTCAATCAGAAAGCTGTCATGTAACGCAAATCGATATCCAGCTTTCTAATTGGTGGTGGATTGTTTGATCGTGGTGGAAATTGCAGTTGGTTCCGTTCAGAGACGTCTTCGCCAGTCGAGTAACGAGTGTGGTGGGGGCCCTCTTAGAGGCCAAAGCTACGCGTTGGGGCCCCCTCAACCACCACGATGATAGAGGTTTTAAAAATGCTAAATGCCTGACCTATACTCTTTGATTCTTTCGGTAAAGTTACGTAGGTATAAAATAATTTCTTTTATTTTAAAATAATTCATTTTACTTTATATCCAAGTGACTTTACCGAAAGAACCAAGGAGTATGGATCCCTGCAGTCACGAAAACTTCAAATCTAGATTGCCTGACCTATGCTTTGTGTCGCGAGCTCGCAATGGTAACTCCATGGCATCAATGAGAACCATCCCCGAAGGACTTTCCAAACGGCCAACAAAGGACGCCTGAATTGCTCCACATCGAGAGGTTTGGATCTCACCAATCCGCTCGGCATCAAAACCGCGCGGGGAACCTGAGAACCCCCAACGCCGTGGAGGAATCTGTTGGAGTGATCCCTCCACGTGCAGACAACTACCACCGCTTCACTGGCCTCGCTAGGGCCAACACCGCTTTGAGGTTTACGAAAAATCTTCACATCCTGTTGGTCTCAGGTAAGCAAACAAACTCTTGCATATCCGACCACAAACACATAGCCAGTGAACTCAAGCACGTACACCAAGCTCTTAAGGCTAATGGTTACTCCGACTACACAATCCGCAAAGCTATTACTCCAACCATGAAGAAGGACCCTCTTGAGGAGCCATTCAAAACCATCACTTTACCCTACATTGCGGGGATCACAAAAAAGATCTCCAAAATCTTGAATAAACACAAGATCCAGGTCCAATTCAACACATTACATAAAATCCGTGATCTGGTTCCGTCTGTAAAAGATGTGATTCCGGACATACAGTACCCTGGGGTCTACCAACTAAGTTGCCTCTGTGGTAGTAGATACATTGGAGAAACCAAACAACATGTCTCGGACCGCATTCGTGAACACAAAGCAGACCTAAAACACGGTAGGACCAACACCTCAGCCGTGGCAGATCACTGTTATAATTCAGTAGGCTCACATGACATTGACTTCTCCAAGACAGAGGTTCTCTGCAAGCCATCTGGCTACCATGAGAGATTCGTTCATGAGGCTATCCACATATACAAACACAGATACAATTTCAACTGAGAAGATGGATTCTGGCTTAGCAATCATTGGAAGGATTTGATAAACCATTTCGGGTCTTAATTGATTGTTCACGCTTATGGTGGCTTTTAGACCGCATCCATTATTTTCGTCTCCCCCCTCCTCTTTTCCGAACGTAGATGGACTCGTCCATCTGAATAACTGCCAAATCGCTCTCCATGGTGCTAACGTTAAAAAAATGCCACTTTTTTCAAATTTTATTGTTGTGGTTTTCACACCTGATGATGATTGCTTGTGTTGCAGTCGAAACGTCGTGAGAATTTTATTGTTTTATATTTGTATTATTTTATTGTTTCCCTTCTACGTGACTTTACCAAAAGAACCAAGAATATGAATCCCTGAAGTCACGAAAGTTTTAAATCAAGATTGTCATCAATTAGAGTAACAGCCCAATTTCCGATAGCCGGAAATCGGCAATAGCTAGAGGGCTGAATTTTGCAGTCACGCCCAAACACATCCCAGTGGATGATATCATTGCCCAGGTTGACGTAGCCCACAAAGGTTTAGGTCACATCCCAGCAGATGTGGCAAGATCTGAAATCTCCGCCATCCTTAAAAACGCTAAGAAACACATTAGCAACATTAGCAGGGACGAGCGCTCTGAACTCGCTCAATTGAAAAAGAGAGATGACATTGTCATCCTTTCAGCCGACAAGAGCAATGCCACGGTCATCATGGAGAAAACCACATACAACAACAAAATCCAGGACCTTCTTATTGATGCCAGTTACACCAAAATCAACAAAGATCCTACAAACCGCCTGGCTACAAAAAACAACAATATCATCACTAATTCGACCTCTCTAATCGAACCGACCAAGCAGCTCTCTCTAAAACCTTCGGCTCCAAGATTTTATAGCCTTCCAAAAATCCATAAAAAGGCACTTCACTCCATCCTATCGTTTCCACCATCAACTCATCTACCTACAAACTGGTCCGTTTCTGTCTGAGACCCTGCTTCCATTCATGGGCAAGACCACTTCAGCATACTTAACTTAGCTCACTTGGTTTCTCTAATCAAGGACATCTCACTGTCTCCAGATAATTTGCTTGTCAGCTTCGATGTAGTCTGTTCACCAAGGTACCTGTACCGGACACCATAGCAATCATTGAAGACTTGGTCCAACAGGGACTGAATCCTGATGTACCAACTTTGGTGAGGCACTGCCTTACCAACACTTACTTCATCTGGAATGGTACATTCTACAAACAAAATGAAGGTACCCCTATGGGTTCTCCCTTATCACCAGTGGTAGCGAATGTTTTCATGGAGAAATTTGAAACAGATGCCATCCTGACATCCACCTTACTTCCTTCCCTGTGGAAGAGATACGTAGATGATACTTTCGTCATCTGGCCACATGGCCAGCCAGCACTGAACCAATTTATCAACCACATCAATTCCATACACCCATCTATCAAATTCACTGTGGAAGTGGAAAATTATGTCAGGCTACCATTCATGGATGTTTTGATCGAGAAGAGGCCTGATGGCTCATTGGGACATTCCGTCTACAGCAAAGCCACCCACACGGATTCCTATTCGGTCCAGAAGAACTCCCTCATCAAAACACTACACCATATGGCTCGCTGCATCTCTGACCAGCGCCACCTAGCCAGTGAACTGGAGCACGTGCACCAAGCCCTCAAGATGACTGGATACTCAAACCGCACAATCCGCAAAGCTGTAGCCCCAACCATGGGGAGACAACCATCTGAGGACCCAATCAAAACCATCACCTTGCCATACATAGCAGGTGTTACCAAAAATATTTCCAAAATCTTGAACAAACACAAGATTCAGGTCCGATTCAATACAGTATACAAAACCCGTGATTTGATCCCATCTGTGAAGGATGTCATTCCTGACATGCAATACCCTGGTGTCTACAAACTAAGTTGTGTCTGCAGCAGCAGTTACGTTGTGGAAACGAAACGACATGTCGCGGACCGTGTTCGCGAACACAAGGCAGATTTTAAACACGGCAGAACCAATACCTTTACCATGGCTGATCATTGTTATAATGCAGTGGGCTCACAGGATATTGTTTTTTTCCGAGACCAAGGTACTCTGCAAACCTTTGGGCTACCATCAAAGATTTGTCCATGAAGCCATCCAGATGTATAAACACAGAGACAATTTCAACCGGGAAGATGGGTATAAGCTGAGCAATCGTTGGAAGGACGTTATTAACCAAGCAAAGTCGTAACTTGCTGTGGTTGCATCCATTCTTCCCTGCCGTTTGGCTATCTCCAACTCTCTGAGTTGCATTGCCCTGTTGGGTGCCTCTGCATTAACGGCTGGGGTCTCACTAACATGGCCACCTCTGCTCCCTTAGCCTCGATGTATCGATGGTTCTGGCTGTGTGATGGGCTGTGTGTCTCACTGGCGCGACCACCACATTGCGGTGGTCCTCTTGCGTTGACGTGCTTGCCTCTCACAGCGCAGTTGGCAGCGCCGCAGCTTGTGTTACACATAGACTTGACATTAACTTGCTAATCCCCCTAATCTCTCTGCCAAATCTCTCCCATCAACATAGTGCTAATCTCCCATTAACACCGCTGTTGTGCGCATATGAGGGGACGATACTGTTATGGCGATGGAAGCTCATTTCATGCTAATCTCTCTCCCTAATCTCCCTCATTAACACAACTGATGTGCTTGCGTGCGGGGATGGAACTCCTTCCCAGCTCAGACCCCGCCTGCTTGCCCTTCGCCAGATATGTAGTGTTGTACAGACGAGCAGACTTCTTTAGGAGGCACACTCTGTTCATTGTATTATTTCCTTATACAACGCTTAACACACACAGAGGGATATTCGGTCCCCTCACCCGATACCCTAGGGAGGTACAGTCTCCGGACCTGGCGGGACTCACACATCTACCGCTAACCTCCTTGATACCTAAGGAGGTACAACCTCCGGACTTGGCGGGACTCACACGTCTACCGCTATCCTAGTCCTCCGGCTAGGACCTAGGGGAGGCTATCTGACCCACCGCTGGTCCGGTGGGTCCTGACCACTGGGTATGCTGAGCCTTAGCCCTTAGAAGGGCTGAAAGGCTGGTCCAGGGTCCTAGCTAGGCTTCAGCCCAGTCTTCTATCTTCGTGCAGGGAGAGAACTCCCCGAGGTCCGTTGGGTCACCCGTCTTATACCCCTTCGTGGCCAGGTAGAACCAATCATACATTCCCACGTGGAACCGTCTGATTGGTTCGCACCAAACCCTGGCCACGATCCGTTTCACCTCGACTGACCCCAACCGTTGTACCCAGGGGTAACGCTGCACTGCCCTGGTGGCAATGCAGGTTACGCAACAGCGCGTAGTTAACACCTCTACACATATATAACCTCTTGTTGTAACAGCTCTCTCGCTGTTTCTTTCTGGTTCAGCAGTTCCACTGCTGGGTTATTTCATTCCGCCTGAGGACGACAGGTTTTTGTTGCGATCGAAACGTCGTGATATTATTATTTATTTATCTATCTACCTGACTTTACCGAAAGAACCAAAGAGTATGGATTCCTGCAGTCACGAAAGCTTCAAATTAAGATATACACTACACTATACACTACTATACACTACACTTTCTATACACTATACATTACTATACACTACACTACACACTGAACTACTATACACTACTCTACACTACTATACACTACTCTACACTACACTACTATACACTGCACTACTATACACTACACTATACACTGCACTGTTATACACTACACTATACACTACACTATACACTACACTACTCTACACATCACTACTATACACTGCACAGTTATACACTACACTATACACTGAACTATACACTACTATACACTACACCAGGGGTCGGGAACCTTTTTGACTAAGAGAGCCATGAAAGCAAAACATTTGGAAATGTATTTCAGTGAGAGCCATATAATATATTTTAAAAGTGAATTCAACTAAATGTCAGTATAATAAGCCTCTGAATTTATTCTTTTAAATAATGTTGTTATAACACTCACCATTAATGCGACTTCTGGTGCTGCATGGATTTGCTGATGTCTTTGTAGTCGGGTTGGTACTTGGTGAGGTTAAGCTTCATGCAAGCGTTGAGGCTTTCATCCGTTAAACGTGATCGTAGGTTGGACTTGATGTTTTTAAGATGTGAGAATGACTGCTCACATGCATACGTAGATCCAAACATGGTCAATACAGCAATACTCACACGCTGCAGTGTGTGGTATGTGACAGGAAGCGCGTTCCAAGTTTTGAGAATCAGCTGGTCTTCGGGTTGGAGTTTTTTCATTTCTGTCCACATGTGCTTGCTCGCCAACTCCGCTTTCTGTCGTGTGATTCTTTCCAAATCTTCATTCAGTGACTTGAACTTATTCACCCACATGTCTGAGGCCTTCAGGTCAGCCACTTCTGCTTCAAAATCTCTGACGGAGACACCAGGGATGTAATTCAGGTCGGCTGTGTTCAGTGAACACTCGTTTGGATGGGTGATGAACTTAAAAAGACGAGTGTGCTCACGAAATTCTCCAAAGCGTGCTTTGAAGGACTGTAGGAGACTGGATGTGCAGCCAGCTAGCTGGTGGAGATCAAGGTTTTGAATGGGCTCACTTGCTGTGCATGCATCTTTAAATTGGCTCAGTTTTTCAAAATGTAGTAAAAGACCTGTTTCAAGATCCGTGATGAAAAGCTCCAGCTTGTTTTCAAAAGCAAATACAGCTTGTTGAAGGGATAACACTGTATTTCCAATGCCTTGCATTTTCACGTTGAGCTGGTTCAGATGTTCAGTCAGATCTACGAGATAGTAAAACTTGAGGAGCCACTCGGTGTCGGCTAGCTCAGGATGCCCGACGCCTTTCATTTCAAGGAAAGTCCGGATTTCGTTCAGGCAAGCCGCAAAACGGCTAAGCACCTTCCCTCTTGACAACCAACGCACATTGCTGTGCAAAAGCAGACCAGGATAGTTATTTACAACTTCATCCAGCAGTGTTTTAAACTGGCGATCATTTAAGGCTCGGGCAACAATAAAGTTGATCACACGAATGACCAGCGACATCACTTCGCCAAACTGCCTGTCACACATCTGAGCACAAAGTGCCTCCTGGTGTATAATGCAATGGAAACTTAGGATGGGTCTATTTTCATGTTCACGGAGACGCGCCACAAATGCTTTGTTTTTCCCCACCATACACGGAGCACCATCAGTACACACTGAGAGAAGTTTATCCATAGGTAGACTTTTTTCTTGAGCAAACTCCATGAAAGACTTGAATAAATCCTCACCTCTTGTGGACCCTTTTAATGGCAGAACAGCAAGACTTTCTTCGCGCAGTGTGTCACCAACAGCATATCTTGCAATCACGCTGAACTGCGACAAATGGCTCACGTCTGTTGACTCATCCAAAGCCAGAGAAAAGAACGGCGCTGCATTTATGTCCTTCACTTGCGTTTCCTCCACTTTGTTTGCCATCACGATGGTACGATCATGAACAGTTCTTGCCGACAGAGGCATGTCTTGTATCCGTTTGATTATCTTGTCTTTGTTCGGAAGATCATCAAAAAGTTCATTGGCTACATCCAGCATGAACGTTTTAGCATACTCGCCATCTGTGAATGGTTTTCCGTTCCTCACTATTGCTAAAGAACCAGCAAAGCTAGCCGAATTATAGTCACCTTGCCGGGTCCATACGCGGAGTTGCTGCTGGCTAGCTTGCACCCTGGTCAGCTCTTGGCACGCTTTCTTTCTGCTGTCTCCCGCAGGGTATTTTGATGCAAAGGTAGCGTGGCGCGTGTCGAAGTGCCGCTTTACATTCGACCGTTTCAACGATGTAATTTTGTCATTGCAAATTAGACACACCGCAGAACCCGCTCTCTCCACAAAGGCGAATTCTTCGGTCCATTCGTCCTGAAATGTACGATACTCGTCGTCTTTTTTTCTTTTCGCCATCTTCTTCGTCGAAGGGTTAGCTTTGAGCTAATGACCGAGCAGACGCAGTCTCAGACTGATTCAAAAGGGGGCGTTTACCTGTTTTACCCAGCAACGGCAAACGTAGGCCAGTATCATCCAATTAAAATAATGGACAATTGCTCCTGCAGCCCTGAACAGGACATGCGCAGTGAAAAATCGATGGATGGATTAAAACAAGTGAGAATATTTTGTTTTATCTGCGAGCCATATGCAATCATCAAAAGAGCCACATCTGGCTCGCGAGCCATAGGTTCCCGACCCCTGCACTACACTATACATTGCACTACTACACACTGCACGATACACTACACTATTGACTACATCAGCCATTAGAAGATCGAGTCGTAGTGATTCCTTCCGTTGTGGAGTCGAAGGCGCCGATTATCCCTGTTGACTTCAATGCGACGCGGTCACGGGTGATAATCGAACTAATCAATGTCAGCGCATTCTTTAAAATTAAGAATCGATTCACGACTTCCATTCTCAGCACGGGAATCGCCGACAGTGAATCGTTGACGAGGAGTCGTTTAATCGATGCTTTATTTTTTTTATTTTCTTGTCTGTCCCGTCCGCCACCATGAAGTGAGTTTTACAAAGTGCAGTCCACAACGACACAGCACAGGAGTAGCAATAGTAATAAGCTTTAATGTTGTCGCATAGGCTGTCCATCGCCGAGGCCTCCGTGTGGTTTTGATCTCCAGACGCCTACGCGAGCCCTAAGGCCTAGCGTCGCAGGCTGCGCGCTCTAGAGCCGCTGCTGCTGCTGCATCTCCTCTCTCCAACGCCCTTCGCCTGCTCTCACCTCTTCACTCGCCTCCTCTGCTCTCTCAACCCTCACATCGTCACCTCTCTTCACTCGCCTCCTCTGCTCTCTCACCCTCGTCCTCACCGCCCTCTCCTCTCACCCTCACCTCTTTGCTCTCTCCGCCAGCCCTCACCTCTCTCCGCCACCCCTCGTCCTCACCGCCCTCTCCGCCACCCCTCACCTCCTCTCTCCGCCACCCCTCACCCCCTCATCCCTCTCACACCCTTACACTGTCCGCACCCCCCCCGTGTCCCCCCCCCCGTGACTCCCCCCCCCATGGCTCCCCCCCCCCGTGTCTCCCCCCCGTGTCCCCCCCCATGGCTCCCCCCCCCCGTGTCTCCCCCCCCCCATGGCTCCCCCCCCCATGGCTCCCCCCCCGTGTCTCCCCCCCCCGTGTCCCCCCCCCCGTGTCTCCCTCCACCTCTCCCCCCGTGTCTCTACCACCCCCTGTCTCTCCCCCATCACCCCCCCCCCGTGACCCCCCCGTGACCCCCCTCCCCCCCACCGTCCCAGCCCGTTAACCCAGGTGCGCCGGGTGAACGCGATGAACGCGCGCGAGGCGGCGCAGGGCGTGAGCGAGGCGGCGTCGTGGCACGCCGACTACCGCGGCAGCGCCTGGGTCTTCGTCGGGGGGCTCCCGTACGAGCTCTCGGAGGGCGACATCATCTGCATCTTCTCGCAGTGAGAGACGGACAGGCACAGCACTGCACAGCACAGCAGAGGTGCATCAGGCACCGCCTTTTTGGGGTGCGATATAATTCCCTTTCTGGAGGCGCGTGCGAGAGGGTGAAGTTACAGATTTCCATTACTCTACGGTTCTTTCAGTGAAGTCACGTCATCAGGTGGTGAAAGCGTGATTTCCCACCCGATGACGGACGCTTGTGTCGCGCCCGAAACGTCGTGATTTATTTTACTTTTCTACCCTCGTGACTTTACCGAAAGAAGCAAAGAGTGTGGATTCCTGCAGTCACGAGAGCTTCAAATCAAGAAAGTTTCAGATTTGTTTCATCGAACCCCCGGTGTACTTGTTAATGTTGTTATTTATTTTTTATGATTAAGAACCAAAGGAGCGCAAGGCTGCGGTAAATGTTAACAGCCACTGGTGTAGCGTGACGACATCTGCATCTTCTCACAGTGAGAATATTCATTCTGGAGGAATCCGATGAGCTATAAAGCTCTTTAAAAAAAAACGTCCGGTAGATTCGCACGGTTTGCTACGTACGGTGCTAAAGAAGTTCAACATACTACTATATACACTACATACGACACTGTTACACACTGCCCTACTATACACTGCACCACTATACTACATTAAAAAACTCATTTCCTGAGAACTGCTTTTTGTGTTTAGTTTGTTGTCCTACCCCTGCACCTCCAATTAACACGGTTGGCTACGTACAGTGCGAATGATTATGCAGATGATGTTGCTGATGATTATGATTCTGGTACTGCTGATGCCTTTGCTGTTTGTATTGGCTCCGGGGGTACTGCGGTGGCTAGACGATGTTAACTACCTCGCCTGGTATGCAGGAGGTCGTGGGTTCAATCCCGACCTTGGCGCCTGTATATATTTGTTATCTGTGTGTGTCTCTCTCTCTCCCCGTGGTCACTTGGATTTTTTTTCCGGGTCTTTTGGTGTCTTCCCCTCACCATTTAGAATCAAGGGTCACATGTTTAGAGTCTGCGGCTACTGCGATAAATGAAGCAATTGGCGGTACCCCGGGGTCCCATCACTGCCCCGGGGTGGGAAAACCCGCGTAGCGACACGAGTCTTGCTGCCTTACCGACAACAAAACTGGCGTCAAATCGATTGGCCTCGTCGAGAGCTACTTGGGGGCACTAAGTTTCGTAAAAAGTTGAAAAATTAGATAAACGCGTTAAATTCACTGCCTGGGGGGGGGGGGGCGGGCTCGCCCTTGGCAAAGGAGCTGAGGATCGACGGCTGACCGGAGGGCCTCGTCGTCGCCGCGCGCGACCGCGGCGGACGCCCCCCGGGGCTTGCGTTTGGCCGGTGGGGGGTGGCGCCCGTCGTGTCGATCGCCGCCTGCTGGTGGCGCTTGCTGGCGCGAGTCTGGGCGGGCGGCGCGTTGCTGTCGGGACCACGAGTGGGCGGACTGAAAAAAATAATAATTATTATTATTGACCCGAATTTTTGCGGGACCCCCGGGGTCCCGCCAATTGATTCAAATGTCCACATGATGATGATGATGATAAGCCCACTTCGTTGAACTATCTTCAACGTATTCTTAGTTTTTTCGGTAAAGTCACGTTGAAGGGAAACAACAAAATAATAAAATATATAAAACAATAAAAAATTATCACGACGTTTCGACCATAACTCAAACTTACCGAAAAAACTAAGAATATGAATTACTGCAGTCACGAAAGCTTTAAATCAAAATTTATCTTCAACGTCATCGCTGTCAAAGAGCTATACAGCTCAGTGGGCCTTTACCTGGTAAAATAAAATAAAAAGCAGTTTCGTTTTTATAGTTTAATAGTTTATGCTTTTGATGCCGATGCTGTTTGTAATGACGCCGCTGATTCTGCTGCTGTGCGACTCAGGTACGGGGAGGTGGTGAACCTGAACCTAGTGAGGGACAAGGCCACGGGGAAGTCCAAGGGCTTCGCCTTCATCTGCTATGAGGATCAGCGCAGCACCAATCTAGCAGTGGATAATTTCAACGGCATCAAGGTACGGTGGTGGTGTTAGTGGTGGTGATGATCGTTGCATTTTTGTGACATGGCTCGATTGTTTCTGTGTGGGTTGTGTTCGTTTTGTTGTGCATTTGCGTGCGTGTGTTTTTGTTATTTGAAGCACCGTGCTCAATGCAATCACGCATTCACCCACTGGCTCATACACACACACCCATTGAATTGTTCACTCAACCATCCACACAGTAATGCACTCGCCCACACTACTCGCACTACTACTCAGATACTCATACACTCCCACACACACCCTCGCACTTAACCCACTCACTGACTGACCCACCCACTCGTACACCTAACTCACCCACCCACTCATACATTTAACTCACCCACCCATTCATAAACTTGACTCACCTACTCACACTCAATCACAGAGACAAAGATCACCCCGTAATGCCTTAACATACTGTTGGGGCAAGTGCTGTTAGCGAGTAGCACCTATGAAGGCGGGCATGGCACACGAGAGGGTGGGTTGGCCTGCACCACGCCCGGCCACCTTTGTCTCCCCAGTGGAGATGTTTGCACACTGCACCAGGTACACATTTGAGGCCGAATCGACCTAGAGGCCCAGAACCGGTTTAGATTATCTTTGTCCTCGTTTCTGTGTGTTTGTGTATCTGTGTGCTTGTGTTCTTCTGTGTATGTTTACAAATAGTGTGGTGTACTGTAGCGTGGGGTCTACTGTAGCGGGGGTGTACTGTAGCATGTGTGTGTGTAGTCTATGGTGCATTGTGGCTTCAATAGCATAGTGTGTAGTGCACTACACTGTGTACAGTGCAGATGGTGTGCGTGTGGTAGAGGCTGTGTATGTGGTGCAGGTTGAGTGTGTGTGTGGTGCAGGCTATGTGTGTATGCGGGCCATGTTGGTGTGAGTGGGGGATGTAGATAGATCGGTGCATGCGAGGGGCTGGTAACTCCTCCACCTGGCACTTTTTTCGACTAAGCACCGCGGTGGAAACACCAAATAAGCCCGTGCTAGAGACAATGGGGCAGGCGTTCATGGCGCCTTATGGCCACACCACGTGGAATGTTCGGACTCTCGTTGCCGAGGAGAGGCTGCCACTCATTTGTCGGGAGATGGACCGGTACCGCCTGGACCTTTGTGGAATACAGGAGGTCCGGTAAACTGGTTCTGGCTCCAGTCATCATGAGGGGTGGACAGTCTTCTACTCAGGGCAGGAGACTGCCAAACAACAGGGAGTAGCTTTTCTTCTGAACAAAGCAATTAATGGGGCGTGGGAGCATGGCGGTAAGGTGTGGGAAGCTATAACCCCCAGGCTACTTTGGGCTCACCTTCCCATGAACCAGAGGCAAGGAGTGGTGGTCGTGGTTACTTATGCCCCCACCGAAGATGAACATCAGTGAAGGGATGCAGGCAAAGCCGATGAGTCTTCAATGACCTCCTGTCACAGGTGCTAGCTAAAGTGGCCCCTCGGGATAGAGTCATCTTGTTGGGTGACTTTAATGCCCGAGTGGGTCATGATGCTGGCATCTGGTCTGGAGTGATTGGAAGGCATGGGCCAGATCGGCTCAATAACAACAGTAGGAGGCTGCGAGACTTTTCTGCAGCCCATGGGCTTGTATTTACAAACACGCTGTTTCAGCATCAGTGCATCCACACAACATCATGGATGCATGCCGGGTCCAAGCAAGAACATCTGCTGAGCTATATAATTGTGCACCAGCGGATGTGAGCCAATGTCCTTGACACCAGGAACGACCATGGAGCTGATCTGCCTACTGACCATCGACTTGTCATCTGTAAGATGTGCCTGGCATTATTCCACTCCGGTGGTGGGTGTCCATATAGGACTCCATTCAAACCCACAGTGGCCTGGCCTCAGCTAGCTGAGGATAGTTGCAAGCAGGCGTTTCAACATCGCTTGCAGCTGGGGTTAGCATCATGCCCCCCCTCCTGATGCTGAGGGGAAATGGGTAAAATTCAGGACTGGCTCATGCAGCTGCAACGACTGCATTGAGTATGCAGTCCAGACCTCCCCAGAGACCCTGGCTGAAGGAGCAGGTGTTCCGGCTGGTTGAGAGAAAACGACAGACCCACTCCCATTGTCTACTGGACAGGAGTAGGCCTGTAAATATTTGAGGGCTGCCGTGCCTCAAATATTGCCAGAAGTAGACACCCCTTCTGAATGGTTGGCTGAGATGCCATCTGTGGAGGATGTGCGAGGGGCGATCTGACACCAGAAAAAGCGCCGGGCAGAGACGATCTCCCAAGCAAAATTCTGATGGAGGGTTGCATTTGTGCGCAAACTGCCCTACATGAAATCATCACAACTGTCTGGACCACAGGACGGGTTCCGCAGGATTGGAAGGATGTGGGGGGGGGACTGCACAGATTGTAACAACTACTGTGCCGGGAAAGGTCCTGGCAAGGATTATTCAATATCGTCTTGCCAGGCACGCTGAGGAGAGGCTTGTGGAGTCCCAATGTTGTTTCAGACCAGGGTGGTCCTGCACGGATGCCATATTCTCTGTCTGCGACAGCAGAGGCGTAGGGAATTCCAACAAGACCGACATCTTTGCTTTATTGGCCTGGTCAAGGCCGATGATACCATCAACAGGCCTGGGCTGTGCGCATTTTTTCATGCTTTTGGAGTCCCTGACTGTCTGCTCAGAATCATTCAGGGCCTTCATGATGGTGAGCAGACCCGGGTAAAGCTACGTTGCCAGAAGTCTGAGCCATTCCCTGTTCACCTAGCGGTGCGACAGGGATGTTCTCTAGCTCCCACATTATTTAACATCATCTTTGACCACATATTCTTGGACCTTTCGGTAAAGTCACGTAGAAGGGAAACAAAATCAATTTTCTTGCTGTGGTTTTCACACCTGATGATGATTGCTTGTGTTGCAGTCGAAACGTCGTGAGAATTTTATTGTTTTATATTTTGATTATTTTATTGTTTCCCTTCTACGTGACTTTACCGAAAGAACCAAGAATATGAATCTCTGCAGTCACGAAAGCTTTAAATCAAAATTTGACCACATAGTTCGAGAAGCTTTCTATGGCTGTACCGGAGGAATATCCATCTGGTACAAATGCAATGGGAGGCTGATCAATGCCCATGTGCGGTTGAAGAATGGCTCCCTTTTGGTCAATCATGCCATGTATGCTGATGATCTGGTGATTGCTGCTCAAACGGAGGAGGATTTGGAGGCACTGGTGCTGAACCTGGAATGTGCCACAAAGAGGTGAGGTCTTACCATCAGTCCGACAAAATCTAAGCACCTGCCTGGGTATTTTGTACCATCGAACACTCCACCCCCTCAGCTTTCCTTTGGTGATGGAGCAGTTGTGGAGATAGTGGAGCGTTTCCCATGCATGGGCAGTGTGCTCATGAATGGTTCCGGTTTGATAGCAGAGGTTTCACTGAATCAGTCGAGATGCATGATCTTTTCATCGGCTGTGTAATACTGTGTGCAAGCTACCTGGTCTTGTCGCTTCGGGTCTTCATGGCCACAGTTATTCCCTCCCTTCTCTACGCTTGGGAAACGTGGACCCTCCTATTGGGACATCTTCGCTGGTTAGAAACATTTAGGCTGGCCTGCCTACGATCTATCGTGGGTTTAACCAGGCCGGATTGTGTGAGGAGCTTGCAAATCCTTAAGACCTGGACAAAGTCCCATCGGTGAGTTCCTCCGGCAGGCAAGGCTGCATTGGCTGGGTCACGTAGCCCGCATGTCCAGCCACCGCATGACTAAACAGCCTTTGTTCGGCCGGATAGAGAGAAGAGATGGGAGTGATGTGGTCCAAGAGGATGTGGAGCTGAGTGGACTTGCCGAAGACCAGCGGTGTCAAGATCGGCCTCTGTGGAGGAGGCTCGTGAAGGACACTACTGGGCAGTTGGAGGCAGTCACCCTCCAGCAACAATGGAGGACAGAGGAGTGACGCTCGCAACAACGAGCGGAGCACCAGGCAACTAAAACAGCAAGTTGGCACAGTAGGGGGCACAGGTGGTGCATCGGCCAGTCACCTCAGTCAGTCGACCCATGGCACCTGGGTCTGCCCCGTGACCTGCCAGCGGGCGTTCGACACTTCACGTGGCCTTAACCTGTGCTTGGCACAGGTGCCGGGGTGACGTCACCGCCACTTAGTGGCGAATGGCAGTTGTGTTTATTTCCGTGTGTGTATGCTTGTGTGCGCATGTGTGAATACGCGCGGCAGATCAAGGGCCGCACGCTGCGCGTGGACCACGTCTCAGAGTACCGCGTCCCCAAGGACCACACGGACACCGATCCAGTCACCCGGGCCCTGCGCGAGCACGGCTGTGGGCCCCTGGTTCCCACCCCTACCGCCACTACCCCCAGCGAGACCCCCAGTGAGACCCCCAGCGAGACCCCTTGCCCCGGGGGATCGTCCAGGTCGCGCAGTGACACTGACGAATCGCCCCGGAGGAAACGCAAGCACGGTGAGACATGGGCCGAGAGAGACATGGGGGAAAGAGAGACACTGAGGAGAGAGAGACACGGGGGAGAGAGAGACACGGGGGAGAGAGAGACACGGGGGAGAGAAAGACACGGGGGGGAGAGATACAGGGGAGAGAGACACGGGGGAGAGAGGGACACGGGGGAGAGAGACACGGGGGAGAGAGACACGGGAGAGAGAGAGACACGGGGGAGAGAGAGACACGGGGGAGAGAGAGACACGGGGGAGAGAGAGACACGGGGGAGAGAGAGACACGGGGGAGAGAGAGAGACACGGAGGAGAGAGAGACACGGGGAGCGAGAGCAACATGGGAGGGGAGAGACACAAATGAGAGAGACACGGGGAAGAGAGAGACATGGAGAGAAAGACACGGGGGAGAGAGATACATGGGGAGAGAGACACGGGGGAGAGAGAGACACGGGGGAGAGAGAGACACGGGGGAGAGAGACACGGGGGAGAGAGACACGGGGGAGAGAGAGACACGAGGGAGAGAGAGACACGGGGGAGAGAGAGACACGGGGGAGAGAGAGACACGGGGGAGAGAGAGACACGGGGGAGAGAGAGACACGGGGGAGAGAGAGAGAGACACGGGGGAGAGAGATTCACGGGGAGCGAGAGCAACATGGGAGGAGAGAAACACAGATGAGAGAGACACGGGGAAGAGAGAGACATGGGGCGGGGTATAATGAGAGACATGGGGGAGAGACACACGGGGAGAGACACGAGGGTGGAGAGACAGAGACACTTGGGGAGAGACGAGGAGAGAGAGACACAGGGCAGAGAGACACGGGAGAGAGAGATACTCGGGGGGAGAGAGAGAGAGACACACGGGGGAGAGAGAGAGACACGGGGGAGAGAGAGAGAGACACGGGGGAGAGAGAGAGAGAGAGACATGGGGGAGAGAGAGACATGGGGGAGAGAGAGACACGGGGGAGAGAGAAAGAGAGAGAGACGGGAGAGAGAAAGAGAGACACGGGAGAGAGAGAAACACGGGAGAGAGAGAGAGAGACACGGGAGAGAGAGAGACACGGGGGGAGAGAGAGACACGGGGGGAGAGAGAGACACGGGGGGAGAGAGAGACACGGGGGGAGAGAGAGACACGGGGGGAGAGAGAGACACGGGGGGAGAGAGAGACACGGGGGGAGAGAGAGACATGGGGAGAGAGAGACACGGGAGAGAGAAAGACACGGGGAGAGAGAGAGACACGGGGGAGAGAGAGACACGGGGGGAGAGAGAGACACGGGGGAGAGAGAGACACGGGGGGAGAGAGAGACACGGGGGAGAGAGAGACACGGGGGGAGAGAGAGACACGGGGGGAGAGAGAGACACGGGGGGAGAGAGAGACACGGGGGAGAGAGAGACACGGGGGAGAGAGAGACACGGGGGGAGAGAGAAACACGGGAGAGAGAGAGACACGGGAGAGAGAGAGACACGGGGGAAAGAGAGACACGGGGGAGAGAGAGACACGGGGGAGAGAGAGACACGGGGGGAGAGAGAGACACGGGAGAGAGAGAGACACGGGGGAGAGAGAGACACGGGGGAGAGACACGGGGGAGAGAGAGACACGGGGGGAGAGAGAGACACGGGGGGAGAGAGAGACACGGGGGGAGAGAGAGAGACACGGGGGGGGAGAGAGACACGGGGGGAGAGAGAGACACGGGGGGAGAGAGAGACACAGGGGGAGAGAGAGACACGGGGGGAGAGAGAGAGACACGGGGGAGAGAGAGACACGGGAGAGAGAGAGACACGGGAGAGAGAGAGACACGGGGGAGAGAGAGACACGGGGGGAGAGAGAGAGACACGGGGGGAGAGAGAAACACGGGGGGAGAGAGAGACACGGGGGGAGAGAGAGACACGGGGGGAGAGAGAGACACGGGGGGAGAGAGAGAGACACGGGGGGAGAGAGAGAGACACGGGGGGAGAGAGAGACACGGGGGGAGAGAGAGACACGGGGGGAGAGAGAGACATGGGGGGAGAGAGAGAGACACGGGGGAGAGAGAGACACGGGAGAGAGAGAGACACAGGGGGAGAGAGAGACACGGGGGGAGAGAGAAACACGGGGGGAGAGAGAGACACGGGGGGAGAGAGAGACACGGGGGAGAGAGAGACACGGGGGGAGAGAGAGACACGGGGGGAGAGAGAGACACGCGGGGAGAGAGAGACACGGGGGGAGAGAGAGACACGGGGGGAGAGAGAGACACGGGGGGAGAGAGAGACACGGGGGGAGAGAGAGACACGGGGGGAGAGAGAGACACGGGGGGAGAGAGATACGGGGGGAGAGAGACACACGGGGAGAGAGAGACACGGCGGGAGAGAGAGACACGGGGGAGAGAGAGACACGGGGAGAGAGAGAGACACGGGGGAGAGAGAGACACGGGGGGAGAGAGAGACACGGGGGGAGAGAGAGACACGGGGGGAGAGAGAGACACGGGGGGAGAGAGAGACACGGGGGAGAGAGAGACACTGGGGGAGAGAGAGACACGGGAGAGAGAAAGACACGGGGGTAGAGAGAGACACGGGGGGAGAGAGAGACACGGGGGAGAGAGAGACACGGGGGGAGAGAGAGACACGGGGGGGGGAGAGAGAGACACGGGGGGAGAGAGAGAGACACGGGGGGAGAGAGAGAGACACGGGGGGAGAGAGAGACACGGGGGCAGAGAGAGACACGGGGGAGAGAGAGACACGGGGGGAGAGAGAGACACGGGGGGAGAGAGAGACACGGGGGGAGAAAGAGACACGGGGGGAGAGAGAGACAAGGGGGGAGAGAGAGACACGGGAGAGAGAGAGAGACACGGGGAGAGTGATATGGGGAGAGAACTGGACACTTAGAGAGAGGCAGAGCGATGTGGAAACATGGATGTGTGAACCCATCTGCGCGTCATCGCTGGCACATATGCACGGTGATTGGAGAACTTTCTCCTTGGGGTGCGCCGGTAAAGCAATCACCAACAGCATGTGGGGTGAACTTGTGGCCCTGTAGGAGACGGATCCCACGAGAAGAAGCAGAAGCAGAAGAAGAAGAGGAAGAAGGATAAGAAACTAAAGAAGAAAGTCAAGAAGACACGGGCAGATGAGCAGGAGGAGGAGGAGGAGGAGCAAGAAGAGGAGGAGGTCCTTGAAATCAAACCTCCCTCTGTCCATGTGAAAATTGAGAAGTCGGACCCCGGATACGAAAAAGCAGCCATGGGGAGACGCGGGGAGAGGCACGGGGAGGGCGACAGGGATGGACATAGGGACGGGCAGGGACACGGGGGGAGCAACAAGAGGGATAGGCAGGGCGCTGTGGAGAGGAGAGTGAAGATGGAGAAAGGGAGTGAAGGCGAGAGGGAGACAGGTGGTGAAAGGGAGAGACAAAGTTACGGTGAGAGGGATAGAGAGGTTGCGAGGGAAAGACAGAGAGACAGTGACAGACAGAGAGGTGAGAGGGAGAGGCAGAGAGATGGTGAGACGGAGAGGCAGAGGGATGGTGCGAGACAGAGCGATGAGAGGGATAGACAGAGAGACGGTGAGTGGGAGAGAAGGAGACATGATGAGAGACCGAGAGATGATGAGAGACAGAGAGATGGTGAGCGACAGAGAGATGGTGAGCGACAGAGAGATGGTGAGCGACAGAGAGATGGTGAGCGACAGAGAGATGGTGAGAGACAGAGAGATGGTGAGAGGCAGAGAGATGGTGAGCGACAGAGAGATGGTGAGCGACAGAGAGATGGTGAGCGACAGAGAGATGGTGAGAGACAGAGAGATGGTGAGAGACAGAGAGATGGTGAGCGACAGAGAGATGGTGAGCGACAGAGAGATGGTGAGCGACAGAGAGATGGTGAGCGACAGAGAGATGGTGAGCGACAGAGAGATGGTGAGCGACAGAGAGATGGTGAGCGACAGAGAGATGGTGAGAGGCACAGGGATCATGGTAGGGAGAGAGTCACAGGGCGAGACATGGAGAGAGACAATAAGAGGGGCAAGCAGAAAGAGAGAGAGAGATGGTGAGAGGGATAAACCGGAATTACAGTCGGGAGAGAAATGGACAGAGGACTACGAAGAAAGACACGGGGAGAGACATGGAGTGGGACAGGCAGGGAGACAAGAGACAGTATGCTGACGCCGCATCCTCACGGCTTGCCAACTGACGTTACATGCAGTGAACGAGCAGAGGCGCGTGGAGGTGGCACTGCGTCTTCACATCAAATGTGCGTGGTGAACGATTGGAAATGCTTGTAGATGACACGGGAATGCTGCATCCTCACGGCTTACTGATTTACTGTCCCGTGCGATGAACGAGTGAAGACGTGTGGAGGTGACGCAGTGAAGCCGCGTTTTCACTGCGTGCTGACGACCGTCATGAGTGATGACCGAGTAGGAGACTTGTGTAGGTGATGCGGGGATGCTGCGTCCTCATCGCTTACTGACGTCACGCGCGATGACCGAGCAGAGACGCGTGTACGCGATGGCGCATCCTCATGGCGTTACGAATCCTTTAGTTTTATTTAAGGACCATTGCCTTTTTTTTATAAAAAGTTTGAGCAAATGCACTGATTTGTATGTGGTTTCCTACAGTGCTCTGGACATGTATGCAGTGATATTAACACGTTTGCCCTTCAAAGACCCAAAACGGCAGGAGGCCAGCTACAAACGGCACTTTCAAATTTGTAACAGTTGACACGTTCCTTAAATGGAACAAGAGCTTCGGTATATATGTATGTTGAAATTATTTTGCACCGTACATAGCCAACCATGCTAATTCGGAGGTTGCGTGGAAGGAAAACAAACTAAACACAAAAAGAAATTCTAAATACATGAGTTTTAAATCTAGATTTAAAAGTACATAGCTCCAGTAGCTTCCTTTTATCGGAAGGAAGAGCATTCCAGACAGCCGCAGAAGAACATCTGAAAACGCACAATGCGGTGATTGTCTTTGTTCGATGGCTAGCCAAAGCTGCTGCAAGGATGGCCGGAATTTGCGTGATTATGGTTTATGCTCCTTGAAGAGGTGAGCAAGGTTTTGTGGTTCATTTGTGGCAAGCACTTTGTGTGTAACGAATGGTGAAGGGATGAGGGGAGAGAATTCAAAAGTGAAGCAGCAGACCGAGATGCATTGTGACCTGTAGCATGGTGAGTTGGTGTGTGGGTGGGTTGGCGCATGAGAGTGTGGGTGGTTGGTTGAGAGGGGAATGAGTGGGTGGTGGAGTGAGTGAGCGAATGCAATTTTGCACAAATTATGTCTGAGCATTTAACATATTTTACCACATGGTATTCATTTGGAGGACATCTGCCCTCCCAACAATGGAGTGGAGCGCTGGGCAGCTAAAACAGTAACAAATTTGCACGGTGGGTAGCACAAGCGATTCTTCTTTCGTATGGATTGGGGTGGGTGGTAGCGGTTGGGGGTGGGGGAGCAACACTTATAGATGCCATCGTTGAATGGCAAGGTCCGTTTTCATTTTTCCCATGTGTGGAACAACGTGTTACGACACCGCCGCCGTGCATATCTCTACCTGCGCTGCGTTCAAACCGCGGTTCAATGTTGTCCACATCCGTCATGAGAGAGATAGAATCTCAGTCTCTGCACGTTTGGGTCCTCAATTATGTTTTTGTTTGCCGTGTTCATAGCTGCCCACCATTCAGACCATCGAGTGCCAGTTATTTTCGACAGCCTGCCAGAGCGGAGCTGCGATATCTCCATGAAGGCTTCCTGGATTTGATCCGAGGGTGTGGGGGGGTGCCTTTAATGTCTCGGAGGAGCAGCAGCAGGGAGAAGTTTTCCACGGTCTCGTTGATACTCCCGGATAGTCGCGGCATCACGTTGGGATTTTGGCCAGAGCAAATGTTTGCCAGCACAGGAAGCCACGGCAGTGGAGTTGGGACTTCAGGCTGCCACTGATGATGCGAAGTGCAGTGTTGGGGAAGAACTTTGTGACGTCATATTTGAGGGGGGGGGGGGGTCTGACTTTATGTGACGCCGTGTGACGAGGGGGGAAAGGGGGGGTAAAAAAAATCGGCCAAAACCGCGTGACGTCATTTATGGATGTGCAGCTCTTTTTAAAATGTCAAGGAGGACCATCCAACTGCACCAGCCAATCAGCTTGCAGGATTACAACCCTATTAAACATTGCCCACCACGATGTTCCCCACGCAACATGGCCCCCTTGTTGTTCACCCCTGCAAACATGGCCGCCTTGTTAATGCCCACGCAACATGGCCGCCATGTCGTTCCTTACGCAACATGGCGTCCCCCATTGTGTTTGATGCGACCACATTTTACAAATGTCATTTGGAACTTTGATCCATACCGTCTACCGATAGTTAAACTTTTAATCTGCAATTTTATTGAGGGACTATTGAGTGTGGTCATTGTTGTATATGCCGGGTCTTGAAAATTTGATGAAAATCATAAAAATTAAACGAAATTTGAGAAAATGCATAATTATTCGATTTATGTTAATGTATGTAATTATGCACATAAATTATGCAAATTTGAGAGATTATTGCATTATTTATGTGAATGTGTGTGATTATGCTAATGTACGCAGTTGTGATAATTAGGCTAAACCTCCTTGTCGAGGGTAGTATTAGTTAACCAAAACGAAACACCTGTCTGTTATCCTTCCTCCGGTGGGGGGCGTGTGTGTGTGTTTTATTTTATTTTACTTTATGACTGACCCTTTCCGTTGGTGGGAGGGGAGGGTGTCATTATCTCTGCGAGATTGACAAGACAGCTGCTCGAAAAGTGTGGTGGGGGGGTGGTGCTCCCAGCGACCCCGCGAGTGATTAAAAAAAAATATCGGAAAAATCATGATTAATATCAATTTTGGAAAAAAGGCATATATACAACATCATGGTGTGGTCTGGGACTGTTTTATTTTACTGCTTTGCCCAAACTTGCATTTGGGGTCGTCCATAAATGACGTCACGCACCTGGGGGGGGCGGGGTCAGACATTTGTGACGATGTGTGACGAAGGGGGGGGAGGGGGGTTAGAAATGTGACGTCACATCAAAATTCGCAACTTTAAATAAATATAGACAACACGTTCTACTTAATTAAATATACTTTTTTTAGTTAATGTTTCCTCCTACAACATCAGAGTCCAGCGCCACATTAAATACGCGCTACAATGTGACAATAAATTTTGATTTAAAGCTTTCGTGACTGCAGTAATTCATATTCTTAGTTTTTTCGGTAAAGTCACGTTGAAGAGAAACAACAAAATATATATTTTATTATTTTGTTGTTTCTCTTCAACGTGACTTTACCGAAAAAAACTAAGAATATGAATGTGACAATAGTTTAAAGCGATTAGAAGCATGTTTCTTTTTTGGGGGGGGAGGGGCAGAGCTTTGTGACGTCATATTTGAGGGGGGGGGGTCTGACTTTTTGTGACGACGTGTGACGATGGGGAGGTAAAAATTCGTCCAAAATCACGTGCCGTCATTTATGGACGGCCCCTTTGGCGTTTAATTGATGTACTTTTACACTTCATTTCACTTGACTATAATTCAGCGACCTGCTCACACTTTCTATACTTCGCACTGCCATCGTTCGTATTGTTTGTTGTAACGTTATTAACCCGTACCTCTACGGGACATCTGTGAAAAAGAGCATTATATTTCGATTTAAAGCTTTCGTGACGGCAAGGATTCATCTTCTTTGGTTCTTTCGGTAAAGTCACCACCACGTAGAATGATAATAAAATAATACATTGATAAAATAAAATAACACAATAAAATTCTCACGACGTTTCGGCCACAACACAAGCGGCCTTCATCAGGTGAAGGGGATGAGACTGTCTGGAGGACAGCGCTGGAGCGAACACAGCCAAGCTCAGAAGTTGTTGAATGATCTTGAGGTGGTGTGGAATCCCTCGCCGTAGAGGCGGTTAAATTTCGATTTAAAGCTTTTGTGACTGCAAGGATTCATCTTCTTTGGTTCTTTCGGTAAAGTCACGTAGAATGAGAATAAAATAATAAATTGATAAAATAAAATAACACAATAAAATTCTCACGACGTCTGTCTCTCTCCCCCGTTCCGACCACGGATGAACTCGTCCGTCTGAACGGGGCTCGTAGCTATCCGTGGTGCTGAAGTTTGAGGGTAAGAATCCACCCATTTTTTCGCCATATAGCATTGTGATATATAACGACGTATTGTTGGTAGCTTAGCTGATAGGAGAATATATATAGTTTATTGATAACATTAAGGTAATTTATATTTTAGTTTTTTTATTGGTTTACTATATAGTATTCATTATATATTGTAGTGCATACCCAGTTACTGTTAATAGCTCAGATGTGTAGGCTTTGACTTTAACATAGCTATATCTGTGACCAGTCACAAGCTAATCACTCAGTTATTTCAATGCTAAATTCTCCTGTTTGATTTGTACTAGGTGCCTCTGTAGATGTGTAGGCTTTGACTTTAACATAACTATTTCTATAACCAGTCACAAGCTAATCCCTCAGTTATTTTAATGATAAATTCTCCTGTTTGATTTGTACTAGGTGCCTCTGTGAATGTGTATGCTTTGACTTTAACATAGCCATTTCTGTGACCAGTCACAAGCTAATCACTCAGCTATTTCAATGCTAATTTCTATGCTAATTCCTTTGTCAAGGCACTCTGTTTCTTCTCACACAGCTTAAAGGTCGCGGTCTGAGCTTGGCTTTTTCACTCCAGCGCTGTCCTCCAGACAGTCTCGTCCCTTCACCTGATGAAGGCCGCTTGTATTGTGGCCGAAACGTCGTGAGAATTTTTTTTGTGTTATTTTATTTTATAAATTTATTATTTTATTCTCATTCTACGTGACTTTACCGAAAGAACCAAAGAAGAAGAGCATTATAGCTCATTGGATTCCTCCAGTAATATAAAAAAAGATATGATTCCAGAAACAGGCGTTAAAATTATTTCCATTATTTGGCTGCTATTATTTCTTACGCGATGATAAAAGCCCACTTCGTTGAGCTATCATTTGTGATAGCCAGGCCGCGTCTGTAAAAAAAAAGAGACTGAAACCTGGTAAGATAAATAAGTAATATAAATAAAAACTTTTTTAAAAACATGCTTTTATGAAATGTACAAGTAATGGAAGAACTCCACAACTCCAGGAAGCGGCCCCGAAGCTTGCCACAACGTCAGTTGAGCGTGGACAATTAGACCCAAGCCGAAACATAACATATAAAAAGAATGTTTAAAAATATAGATGTTTTTAATGATATAATATAGTATTGTCATCAGTATGACATAAGTATACCAAGTTTGCAGTCGATACCACATTGGGAAGTGGGTTAAAATTGAGTTACAAGATTTGAGGATACAACAACGACAACAACAGACAGAGTGAGTTCAATAAAAGCGTGTAATAACAATTGTTAAATAGTTTTGAGAAAATCCACACAACCACTCTCCCCATCTTCTCACTCTCTCCCCTGCCTCTCCCACTCACTCCCCACACCCCCCACTCACTCCCCACACCCCTCACTCCCTCCCCACACCCCCCACTCCCTCACCACACCCCCCACTCACTCCCCACACCCCCCCACTCCCTCCCCACACCCCCCACTCACTCCCCACACTCCCCACTCCCTCCTCACACCCCCCACTCACTCTCCACACCCCCCACTCACTCCCCACACCCCCCACTCACTCCCCACACCCCCCACTCCCTCCCCACACCCCCCACTCACTCCCCACACCCCCCACTCACTCTCCACACCCCCCACTCCCTCCCTCCCCACACCCCCCACTCCCTCCCTCCCCACACCCCCCACTCCCTCCCCACACCCCCCACTCCCTCCCCACACCCCCCACTCACTCCCTCCCCACACCCCCCACTCACTCCCCACACCCCCCACTCCCTCCCCACACCCCCCACTCTCTCCCCACACCCCCCACTCTCTCCCCACACCCCCCACTCCCTCCCCACACCCCCCACTCACTGTCCACACCCCCCACTCCCTCCCCACACCCCCCACTCCCTCCTCACACCCCCCACTCTCTCCCCACACCCCCCACTCCCTCCCCACACCCCCCACTCACTGTCCACACCCCCCACTCCCTCCCCACACCCCCCACTAACTGTCCACACCCCCCACTCCCTCCCCACACCCCCCACTCCCTCCCCACACCCCCCACTCTCTCCCCACACCCCCCACTCCCTCCCCACACCCCCCACTCACTGTCCACACCCCCCACTCACTCCCCACACCCCCACTCCCTCCCCACACCCCCCACTCTCTCCCCACGCCCCCCACTCTCTCCCCACACCCCCCACTCTCTCCGCACACCTCCCACTCTCTCCCCACACCCCCCACTCCCTCCCTCCCCACACCCCCCACTCCCTCCCTCCCCACACCCCCCACTCCCTCCCCACACCCCCCACTCCCTCCCCACACCCCCCCACTCCCTCCCCACACCCCCCACTCCCTCCCTCGCCACACCCCCACTCACTCCCCACACCCCCCCTCACTCCTTCCCCACACCCCCCACTCACTCCCTCCCCACACCCCCCACTCTCTCCCCTCCCTCTCCCCCTTTCCCCCCCCCTCACTCTCTCACATCTCCCCTACTCTCTCCTCCCTCTCCCCTCCCACCCTCCCCACCCACTCTCCCCTCCCACCCTCGTCTCCTCCCACTCTCTCCCCACCCACCCTTGTCTCCTCCCACCCTATCCTCCCACTCTCTCCCCCCCCAGTCTCCCCCCCCACTCTCTCCCCACCCACTCTCTCCCCACCTACTCCCCCCACTCTCTCCCCCCCCCCCACGCTCTCCCGCCCTCTCCCCACCCACCCTCGTCTCCTTCCACTCTCCCCACCCACTCTCTCCCCACCCTCTCTCCCCCCCACTCTCTCCCCACCCACTCTCCCCACCCACTCTCTCCCCACCCTCTCTCCCCCCCACTCTCTCCCCACCCACTCTCCCCACCCACCCTCTCCCCACCCACTCTCCCCACCCACTCTCTCCCCACCCTCTCTCCCCCCCCACTCTCCCCACCCACTCTCCCCCCCACTCTCTCCCCACCCACTCTCTCCCCACCCACTCTCTCCCCATCCACTCTCTCCCCACCCACCCTCGTCTCCTCCCACTCTCCCCACCCACTCTCTCCCCACCCACTCTCTCCTCCCACTCTCTCCCCCACCCACTCTCCCCTCCCACTCTCTCCCCACCCACTCTCTCCCCACCCACCCTCGTCTCCTCCCACTCTCCCCACCCACTCTCCCCTCCCACTCTCTCCCCACCCACTCTCCCCACCCACTCTCTCCCTCCCACCCTCGTCTCCTCCCACTCTCCCCACCCACTCTCTCCCCCCCCCCCCACTCTCCCCCCCCCCCACTCTCTCCCCCCCCACTCTCTCCCCACCCACTCTCTCCTCCCACTCTCTCCCCCACCCACTCTCTCCTCCCACTCTCTCCCCCCACTCTCTCCTCCCACTCTGTCCTCCCACTCTCTCCTCCCCCACACTCTCTCCTCCCACTCTCTCCCCCACCCACTCTCTCCTCCCACTCTCTCCACCCACTCTCTCCTCCCCCACACTCTCTCCTCCCACTCTCTCCCCACCCACTCTCTCCCCCCACTCTCTCCCCACCCACTCTCTCCTCCCACTCTCTCCCCACCCACCCTCGTCTCCTCCCACCCTTTCCTCCCCCACACTCTCTCCCCACCCACTCTCTCCTCCCACTCTCTCCCCACCCACTCTCTCCACCCACTCTCTCCCCTCCCACCCTCTCCTCCCACTCTCTCCCCACCCACTCTCTCCTCCCACTCTCCCCACCCACTCTCTCCTCCCACTCTCTCCCCTCCCACCCTCTCCTCCCACCCTCTCCTCCCACTCTCTCCCCTCCCACTCTCCCCACCCACTCTCTCTCCCTCCCACCCTCGTCTCCTCCCTCTCCCTCCCTTGCCTCCTCCTCCTTTCCTCCTTTGCATTTCGGCAGCCGTCCGTGATGGTCACGTTGGCGCGAGTCCTCTCTGTGAAGCCATAGCGTGAGTACCACCACCACCAGCACCACCACCAAGATCCCCCGTGTAGCCTAGGCAGACTGTAGGGGCAAGTGCTGTTGGCGAGCACCTATAAAGGCCGGGTGGCCAACACCACGCCCGACCGCCTTTGTCTCCCCAGTGGCGATGTTTATCCACGCACCGCACCAGGTGCTCGTTTTGAGGCCGAGTCGACCTAGGGGAGGCCCAGGTACCGGCTCAGATAATCGCTGTCACCATCATTCACCATTACCACCACCATCACCACTACCGTCATTAATCAGTAACTGCACGAATGCATTAACCGACGTCTTTGCATCGATCATCAGCGGCCTCGATGGAAACCCAACAATCATTACCACCATCGATCGATCGATCATCAGCGGCCTCGATGGAAATCCAACAAAATCATTACCACCACCATCGATCGATCATCAGCGGCCTCGATGGAAACCAACAAAATCATTACCACCACCATCGATCGATCATCAGCGGCCTCGATGAAAACCAACAAAATCATTACCACCACCATCGATCAATCGATCATCAGCGGCCTCGATGGAAACCAACAAAATCATTACCACCACCATCGATCGATCATCAGCGGCCTCGATGGAAACCAACAAAATCATTACCACCACCATCGATCGATCATCAGCGGCCCTCGATGGAAACCAACAAAATCATTACCACCATCATCGATCGATCATCAGCGGCCTCGATGGAAACCAACAACATCATTATTATTAACACCACCACCATCATCATCATTGATACATAATCACGAATTTTAATCGATACTCCCACTGCGCGTCTGACAAGGCGACATTTCGTGGCGTCGTGAAGTTCACCTTTTCGCATGCTCCGTACGGAGCTGACTGGTGATTGTTATATATATTTTAAAAAATATTGTTGATTTAAACTTGTAGCAATAATTTTAAACTTTTATCTTCTCCTTAAGACCACGTGGAGATTTACCAAAAAAAACTCCAGGCCCCCCCCGCCCCGCGCGCGTGTTAAGACAGGATAAAACAATGTTTCAACCAATTCACTGTGAATTAACAATAATATGAGCGGCTGCCGATGTTTCTAAAGTAACGTAAATGATATTAATCTTTTTCACTTCAAAAGTTAAAGTCGCGGTTCAGCCGCGAGGAAGCCATGCGGCCTAACGAAGGCCTAAAGCCTTCCCCAGGCCCACGGCACGAAACGTTGAGGCAAATATAATATTTAAACATCTTAAACTAACGGCTCTTGATTCTAGATTTGAAGCTTTCGTGACTGCAAGGATTCATACTCTTTGTTTTTTTTTTTCGGTAAAGTCACGTAGCTACCTAAGCCTACGTGACTTTACCGAAAAAAAACAAAGTATAATGGATAAATTTTGATTTAAAGCTTTCGTGACTGCAGTAATTAATATTCTTAGCTCTTTCGGTAAAGTCACGTTGAAGGTAAACAATAAAATAATAAAATATATATAAACCAATAAAAAAATTCTCACGACGTTTCGACCATAACACAAACGGTCGTTATCAGGTGTGTCGGTTTGCATAAATTTATTTATTTTATTTTATTGTTTCCCTTCTACGTGACTTTACCGAAAGAGCTAAGTATATAGTATAATGGCTCTTGGTTTTTTCAATTTGCTCAAGTTAATGCGTTGTAAGGGTGCCTTCGGAAAAGTGATGTTTTTTCATCGTTAAAACGTGGATTAATTTAAAGGTTTATGGTAAAGTGCCTTTTCCTTACGTTACAATGCGTTTTCGTGCAAGTGCTTTTAAGAATATGATAAGATATTCGAAAATCAGAATATGTATACTGCTGCAGGAGGAATCCGATGAGCTATAAAGCTCTTTTGTGACAGATGTCTTGTAGGGGCACGGGGTAAGAACGTGACAACAAGACAAAGATCCCCCGTGTAGCCTGAACAGACTGTAGGGGCAAGTGCGTGGTGCTGGTGGCCACCATCACGCCAGACCGCCTTTGTCTCCCCAGTGGCGATGTTTACACACCGCTACACCAGGTACTCATTTGAGGCCGAGTCGACCTAGGGGAGGCCCCGGACCGCTTCAGGTAATCGTCACCGGTGGTGTTGGCCGTGACGGGGAATTTAACTCGGGTGGCCAGGTTCATAGCGCAGCTCGCTGACCGCTACACTACCGCTCCCCAGACGGTAGTACACAGAAACAGGGATGGTAGTGAAAAGTACAACAAAGGTGAACATCACACAAACACAGGTACTACTAAACCATACACATCCTACCCGGGCAAAGCTCTGGCCAGATATTGGGCCCGTCGTTTGGACGTTCATGGCAACAAAATCGCGTAAATAATCTCGATTTCATGTTTATAAATGTGGAGGGAAAACCCGGAGGACCTGGAGAAAAAAATCCAAGCGACCACGGGAAGAGAGAGACGCGCAAACTCTAAATACACAGCAGGCGTCAGGGTCGGGATCGAACCCACGACCACCTGTAAACCGGGCGTAGTAGTTAACATCTAGCCACCGTAATACAACAGGCGTCAGGGTCGGGATCAAACTGACGACCTCCTGCATACGAGGCGATGTAGTTAACACCTAGCCACCGTGGTGGCGCACCTTAATATGAAGAAAATATGCAAGTTCAAATTGCATCGTGAATGCCAACGCTTTGGAAAGGCAGTAAAACAATAGTCAATAGAACAATACTAGCATATTCGTGAAGAACAACTGTGCCACCTTAGAGGTGAAAATGTTTAAAATATATATAACGTTTGAGGCTATTGCTTTGAAATATAATTGAATGTTTTTTTTCTGATCTTAACATTTACATTTTTTTTAATTCTCATTAGGCTCCATGGTGTAAAGTTCAGTCTACAACTCGTATTATCCACGTTAGCCTCTATTCATGTGTAGAGGTGTTAACTACGTGCTGTTGCGTAACCTGCATTGCCACCAGGGCAGTGCAGTATTACTCCTGGGTACAACGGTTGGGGTCAGTCGAGGTGAAACGGATCGTGGCCAGGGTTTAGTGCGAACCAATCAGACGGTTCCACGTGGGAATGTATGATTGGTTCTACCTGGCCACGAAGGGGTATAAGACGGGTGACCCAACGGACCTCGAGGAGTTCTCTCCCTGCACGAAGATAGAAGACTGGGCTGAAGCCTAGCTAGGACCCTGGACCAGCCTTTCAGCCCTTCTAAGGGCTAAGGCTCGGTATACCCAGTGGTCAGGACCCACCGGGCCAGCGGTGGGTCAGATAGCCTCCCCTAGGTCCTAGCCGGAGGACTAGCATAGCGGTAGACGTGTGAGTCCCGCCAAGTCCGGAGGTTGTACCTCCTTAGGTATCAAGGAGGTTAGCGGTAGACGTGTGAGTCCCGCCAGGTCCGGAGGCTGTACCTCCCTGGGGTATCGGGTGAGGGGACCGAATATCCCTCTGTGTGTGTTAAGCGTTGTATAAGGAAATAATACAATGAACAGAGTGTGCCTCCTAAAGAAGTCTGCTCGTCCGTACAACACTACACATGTACTATAAGGGCCGTTTCCCGAAAGTCGCCTGTCATGTAAAACTAAAACTTTTCCTAAACTATGTCTTTAATTTTACCAGGTAAGGCCACACTGAACAGTGTAGTAGCTTCAATTCTAGATTGTGTAGTCGCTCTTTTGTCAGAAGCGACCTAGCCATCACAGATGATATTTCAACGTATTGGGGGGGGGGGGGGCTTATCATCATCATCATGTGGACATTTATAGCAGCAGCCAAGTCCTCTAAACGCTTCGAGACCCATAGAAATGTGTAGACTCATAGGCTAAACTAAACTTTTTTTTATTTTACCAGGGAAGTCTCACGGAGCTATGTAGTTTTTTTTTCAGAAGCGACCTGCTCATCCACAAGATGATAGCTCAACGAAGTTGGCTTATCATCACGTGGAAATTTATAGCAGCAGCCAAACTCTCTCAATGGATGATTTTGATTCAAGATGTGGAGGAAAAACCGGAGGACCCAGAGAAAAAAACCACGTGACCACAGGGAGAGAGAGACACGCAGACTGCAAATATACAGCAGGCGTCAGGGTCGGGATCGAACCCACAACCGCCTGTATACCAGGCAATGTAGTTAACATCTCCTAGCTACCATGACATACAGTGCATACTTTACTCCATACTTTCTCTATACTTTCCCTTTGAGGCTGCACGTCCACACAAGGTTATCAGTGATTGTGTTGAGTGTTGTTGATTAGGCCTTTACACCACTTCCACCGCAGCAGCATCGGAACATTCGTTTTAACAGTTGACTGGAAGGTCACGTGTGGTGCGGCAAAGTGTTGGTATACGTGGAATTCCATCGTTATTCACAAACTCGCTATCCACGATTCTGGCTTTCTGCGAATGGCATATGTAAGTCTACACGACTACCGGTACTGCATCGAGAGAGAGAAAGTGATGACGGGATAAGTGATGACGGGATAAAGTGATGCAAGAAAGTGGAGAGATGAAGTGATGAGAAATAAGTTATGCTAGGCAGAGAGAAGCATCTGCAGACGCTGCGCTATATGGTACTCATAGTGCCAAATATCATCTGTGAAATGTGTTATTCACGTGCGTCTCTGGAGCGTATACCTCCTCGCGAGTAACCAGGGAATACTTCTAACTCGCCTTTTCAAAGACACCTGCTCTCCTCTGGCCTAAAAGAGTGGAATAATTACCAACAGAACAAAAACACACAGCGCCAAATAAAAATATGAATGGGAGCACGAACAACCAAATGGATCCATAATTAAGGTTTTTTTGGATTATATCTCGTAAATATGAACGTCGTTAAACCGGCCACGACCCGACAGCCAATTAGCAAGGTTTGTCACGTAAACAAAATATGCCAATTTGTTACTAGTACAGCGAACCGGTTGTGTGTTGGAGAGTAAACCCACTCCAACATTTACAATTCGAGTAACGTTTCTCCAGTAATTACAAGAAACGGTTTCATCAGGCAACAGCCAGAGTTGTGGAGAAATCCTCCTGTTTTGGTCTTTAATAGAGGAAAGGGATCGATGTGAAGTCGTCACTTGTGCTAAGGCCAGGGGGGTGGATACCCATTACTGGTTGGCTTATTCATAATTACAACTGCTGCACAAGAATATTCTTAAACGTCATAATTACTACGTGGTTATTTGACCACTAGCTTCTTTGCCCATCCGAGGACGGAAGCTGTAATATTTACAGAACCTCCAAGACAGGTTCTTTGTAAGCCATCTGGCTACCATGAGAGATTCGTTCATGAGGCTATCCACATATACAAGCACAGAGACAATTTCAACTGAGAAGATGGATTCTGGCTTAGCAATCATTGGAAAGATTTGATAAACCATTTCAGGTCTTAATTGATTGTTAATGCTTACAGTGGCTTTCAGACAGCATACATTAATTTTTCGTCTCCCCCCTCTTTTCAGAACATAGATGGACTAGTCCTTATAAATAAACTGCCAAATCGCTGCGAGGGGTGCTGGCGTTTTTTTATAAATAAATAAATACGCCATTTTTTAATAAACTCATTAATGCAAACGGACACACCTGATGACGACCGTTTGTGTTATGGTCCAAACGTGAGAATTTTTTTATTGTTTTATATATATTTTATTATTTTATTGTTTCCCTTCAACGTGACTTTACCGAAAGAGCTAAGAATATGATAGCTGTAGTCGTCATAGCTATAAAAGTTGCAGAAGCTGCAGTATCTGTTGTAGCAGCAGGAGCCACATGATGAGAGAGATGAGTTGCGGATCGCTGAGCGAATGTCGACCCAACATCTATCACCCCTTTCTGATGGCTCCTCAACCCCCAAACAACGGGGACACAGTCGGCTGGGCGTGGTGCTGACCACCCACCCCCTTTCATGTGCCACAGTGCCGGCCTTCATAGTCGTCGCTTGCTAACAGCACTTGCCCCCAACAGGCTTGAGGCTATAATGGGGTCTTTATCTTTAAGTGTGCCTCTGCGTGTCTCTGCGTGTATAAACAGGCAGGTGAAAGTGACGTCAAGACTCGTGGCAACATCCTCCTGAGAAGTCTTCACCGAGTATGCAGACCCGCAGGTTTGTGTGTGTTAGTATATGGGTTGGCACAGTAGGGGGCATAGGTGGTGCATCTGCGTAATCTCAGTCAACCTATGGCACCTGGGTCTGTCCCGTGACCTTCCGACACTTCACGTGGCCTTAGAGTGCACATAGCCTGGCACAAGCGCCGTGGTGATGTCACCGCCACTTAGTGGTGAATGGCGGCTGTTGTTTTCTGTGTCTGTGAGTGTCTTTGAGTGTCTGTGAGTGACTGCGCTGGTCGTCGCTGGGCTGTGATGAGCCAAGAGGTCAGGCTAGAGTCTCTGAGTCTCCCTGACGACAAGTCGACCCACTGAGCCCAGTGACGCAGTGAGACTCGTCGAGCGAGTGTGGTTGCTTGTCTGTGGTAACTGTGTGTGCCGTGTGTCTGTGTGGGGAGCGGTTAGCGCGCATCGCACTACGAACCCAGCGACAAGAGTTCGATTCCCACTCATTATAACTAACGTCAGTGACAAACATATGGATTATTCTCGATCCTCCCCGAGGTCGACTCTGCTTTAAATGGGTACCTGGTGTGGTCCGTAAACATCACTGGAGAGACGGTGGCAATCCGGGTGTGGTGCTGGCCACCCACCCCCTTGAGTACCACAGTGCCGGCCTTCACAGGTGCTCGGTAACAGCACTTTCTCCCAACAGTCTGTTCAGGCTGTACATAGAGGGATCTTTGTCTCTTTTGTGCGTGAATTTGTTGGCACAGTGGGGAGGAGCACAGGTGGTGCATCTGCCAGTCATTTGCTTCTGCAGTCGGGACTCTTAATTGCAAGCTCTACGCATCTTTCTCTCTGTGTCTACAGGGTCCCCATTAGCTCGCAGGATGAGGAGGAGGAGGTGGTGGGACGCTTCATTCACCTGCCCAGTCGTCCACCCTAACAGGTACAACGACGTTCGATCGAACTACGCTGGCTCTGGCGACGTAATTTGATCGCTCCGGCGGTTATCACTTCTGCGGGAGCTGCTGTCGAAGCAGGAGCCACATGATGAGAGAGATGCGTTACGGATCGCTGAGCGAATGTCGACCCAACATCTATCACCCCTTTCTGATGGCTCCTCAACCCCCCAACGACGGGGAGACAGTCGACCGGGCGTCGTGCTGACCACCCACCCCCTTTCACGTGCCACAGTGCCACAGTGCCGGCCTTCATAGGCGCCGCTTGCTAACAGCACTTGCCCCCAACAGTCTGTAAAAGCGATGCGGGAATCTTTGTCTTTAAGTGTGTCTCCTTGTATCTCTGCGTGTATAAACAGGTTGGTGAATGTGGAGTGAAGACTCATGGCAACATCCTCCTGAGGAGTCTGATGGAGTACACAGACGCGCAGGTTTGTTTGTGTGTGTGTACAGGTGTGAGTGTGTGTGTATTTGTGTCTGTAAGTGACTGCGTTGGTCATTGCTGGGCTGTGATGAGCCAAGAGGTCAGGCTAGAGTCTCTGAGTCTCCTTGACGACAAGTCGACCCACTGAGCCCAGTGATGCAGTGAGACTCGCAGAGAGCGAGTGGTGGTATGCCTGTGGCATCTGTGTGTGTGTGTGTGCGTCGATGTGTAGAGAGCGGTAGTGTAGGGGGTGGTATTGTAGCGGTTAGCGCACTGCGCTACAAACCCGGCGACCAGAGTTCGATTCCCAATCACGGCCAACACCAATGACGATCATCTGAACTGGTCCTGAGATTCCCCTAGTTCGACTCGGCCTCAAATGAGTACCTGGTCCGTTGTGTAAACATTGCCACCGTAGAGACAAAGGCGGCCGGGTGTGATGTCCAACCACCCTCTTTTGTGCCATGCCGGCCTTCAAAGGCGCTGCTCACCAACAGCGCTTCCCTCAACAGTCTGCTAAAGATATACGGGTGACCTCTGTCATTAAGTGTGTCTCTGCGTGTCTCTGCGTGTGTAAACAAGCAGGTGAAAGTGGCACCAAGGCTCATGACAGCATCCTCCTGAGAAGTCTTCACGGAGTACACAGACCCACAGGTGTGTGTGTGTGTGCAGTATATGGGTTGGCACAGTCGGGGACATAGGTGGTGCATCTGCCACTCATCTCAGTAAACTTATGGTACCTGGGTCTGTCCCATGACCTCCCAGCACTTCACGTGACCTTAGAGTGTGCACAGCCTGGCACAAGTGCCGTGGTGATGTCACCACCACTTAGTGGCGAATGGCGGCTCTCGTCGCTTTCTGTGTCTGTGAGGTTCTATTTCTGTGAGTGTCTGTGTCTGTGAGTGATGGTGCTGGTCGTCGCTGGGCTGTGATGAGCCAAGAGGTCAGGCTAGAGTCTCTGAGTCTCCCTGACGACAAGTCGACCCACTGAGCCCAGTGACACAGACTCAAAAGAGAGCGAGTGTGGTTGTATGGCTGTGGTATCTGTAGTATTCATCGCTCGGGAGACGGAGGTGGTTTGGCGTGGTGCTGCCTACCCACTCCACTGTGTGCTGTGCCGGCCTTCACAGTTGCAGCTCGCTGACAGCACTTGCTCCCAACACTGTGCTAAAGGCTATACGGGGTGATCCTTTATTTTACGTGTGAATGTGTTGGCATAGTGGGGAGGAGCACAAGGTAATTAATTTGCGAAGCATTCGCTTCTGTCGTCGTAACTCTTAAACACATGCTCTGCACGTCTCTTTCTGTGCCTGCAGGATCCCCATTAGCTTGCAGGAGGTGGAGGGACGCATTCATTTGTCTGACGATTCGCTTGCCCAGTCGCACACCCTAACAGGTAAAAACGATGTTCAATCGACCTACGCTGACTCTGGTTACGTCGTTTGATTGTTCCCGCGGCCATCACTTCTATATCAGCTGCTGTACCAGCAGCAGGAGCCACATGATGAGAGAGATGAGTTGCGGATCGCTGAGCGAATGTCGACCCAACATCTATCACCCCTTTCTGATGGCTCCTCAACCTCTGAATGGCGGGGATACAAAGGCGGCCGGGCGTAGTGCTTGGTCACACACCCCCCTTCATGTGCCACAGTGCCGGCCTTCATAGGCGCTCCTCAAAGACAGTCCTCACCCCGACAGCCTCTGCAGGCTTGACAGCTGGGTTGGTGAGGGGGGGAGTTCTGTTTTAGTCTTTAACAAGGCAGAGTGTGTTCAGGTTTTTGAATGTCAATGTAGAAGTCTGCAACCCACAAGGGGACTTTAGAAGAGTGTTTGTAGTTTCGCGCTCTTCCTCTGTTGAAGGGGAGCGCAGGCTACAGTGGGTTTACTGCACGGGCCACTTCATCTCTGTCGAGTGGCGTGGCTTCAGTGACTAAGTGTGTGGGGGTGTATCAGTTAGCGCGCTTCGCTACAAATTCCTGCAAGGGGAGATTATTCCCGCTCACGGCTAACACCAATTACGATTATCTGAAGCAGTCCGTGGCCTCTTCTAGGTTGAAACGGCCTCGAATGAGTACCTGGTGCTGTGTGTAAACATCATCACTCGGGAGACGAAGGCGGTCGGGCGTGGTTCTGGCCACCCACCCGTTCGTGTGCCTTGCTGGCCTGCATAGGCACTGCTCACTGACAGCACTTGCCCCAATAGCCTGTTGAAGCTATAAATGGAATCTTTGTCTTTAAGTGTCTCTGCATGTCTCTGCGTGTATAAACAGGCCGGTGAATGTGGCGTTGAGACTCATGACAACGTCCTACTGAGGAGTGATGGAGTACACAGACCCACAGGTTGGTGTGTGTATGTGTACGGGGGTGAGCGTGTGAGTGTATGTGTGTATTTGTGTCTGTAAGTGACTGCGTTGGTCGTCGCTGGGCTGTGATGAGCCAAGAGGTCAGGCTAGAGTCTCTGAGTCTCCCTGACGACAAGTCGACCCACTGAGCCCAGTGACGCAGTGAGACTCAGAGCAAGTGTTGTAGTATGCCTTTGGTATCTGTGTGTGTGTGTCTGTGTGTGGCAGGGAGCGGTAGTGCATTGGAAAGCGCAACCACGCTACAAACCCAGTTACCAGAGAAAGTGCTAAGAGCAGTTACCCTAACCAAGGCTCTACGTGACATCGATGTACAGTGAGGGAAAAAAGTATTTGATCCCCTGCTGATTTTGTACGTTTGCCCACTGACAAATTATCAGTCTATAATTTAAATGGTAGCTTTATTTGAACAGTGAGAGAATAACAACAAAATCCAGAAAAACGCATGTCAAAAATGTTATAAATTGATTTGCATTTTAATGAGGAAATAGGTATTTGACCCCTCTGCAAAACATGACTTAGTACTTGGTGGCAAAACCCTTGTTGGCAATCACAGAGGTCTAAACGTTTCTTGTAGTTGGCCACCAGGTTTGCACACATCTCAGGAGGGATTTTGTCCCAATCCTCTTTGCAGATCTTCTCCAAGTCATTAAGGTTGCGAGGCTGACGTTTGGCAACTCGAACCTTCAGCTCTCTCCACATATTTTCTATGGGATTTAGGTCTGGAGACTGGCTAGGCCACTCCAGGACCTTAATGTGCTTCTTCTTGAGCCACTCCTTTGTTTCCTTGGCTTTGTGTTTTGGGTCATTGTCATGCTGGAATACCCATCCATGGCCCATTTTCAATGCCCTGGCTGAAGGAAGGAGGTTCTCACCCAAGATTTTGACGGTACATGGTCTCGTCCATCGTCCTTTTGATGCGGTGAAGTTGTCCTGTCCCCTTAGAAAAACACCTCCAAAGCATAATGTTTCCACCTCCATGTTTGACGGTGGGGATGGTGTTCTTGGGGTCATAGGCAGCATTCCTCCTCTTCCAAACACGGCGAGTTGAGATCCCAAAGAGCTCCATTTTGCTCTCATCTGACCACAACACTTTCACCCAGTTGTCCTCTGAATCATTCAGATGTTCATTGGAAAACTTTCAGGCGGGCATGTATATGTGCTTTCTTGAGCAGGGGGACCTTGCGGGCGCTGCAGGATTTCAGTCCTTCATGGCGTAGTGTGTTACCAATTGTTTTTTTGGTGACTATGGTCCCAGCTGCCTTGAGATCATTGACAAGATCCTCCCGTTTAGTTCTGGGCTGATTCCTCACCGTGAGATCTTGCATGGAGCCCCAGGCCGAGGGATATTGACAGTTTTGTGTTTCTTCCATTTGCGAATAATTGCACCAACTGTTGTCACCTTCTCACCAAGCTGCTTGGCAATGATCTTGTAGCCCATTCCAGCCTTGTGTAGGTCTACAATCTTGTCCCTGACATCCTTGGAGAGTTCTTTGGTCTTGACCATGGTGGAGAGTTTGGAATATAATTGATTGATTGCTTCTGTGGGCAGGTGTATTTTGTACAGGTAACAAGCTGAGATTAGGAGCACTCCCTTTAAGAGTGCTACTAATCTCAGCTCGTTATCTGTATAAAAGACACCTGTAAGCCAGAAATCTTTCTGATTGAGAGAGGGTCAAAACCTTATTTCCCTCATTAAAATGCAAATCAATTTATAACATTTTTGACATGCGTTTTTCTGGATTTTTGTTATTCTGTCTCTCACTCTTCAAGTAGACCTACCATTAAAATTATAGACTGATAATTTATTTGTCAGTGGGCAAACGTACAAAATCAGAAGGGCATCAAATACTTTTTTCCCTCGCTGTATATATATGTCCGTGTGTTTGTATGTGGGAAGCGGTGGCGCAGTGTTAAAGTGGCACTCCCTGCGCTACAAAGCCGGCATCCCGAGTTGGATTCCTGCTCACCGCCAACAATGCTGACGATTATCTGAACCAGTCTAGGGGGGCCTCTAGGTCAGCTTGGCCTTGCATGGATACCTGTTGTGATGCATAAACATCGCCACTAGGGGAGAACTTAAGGGAGTTGGGCGTGGTGCTGGCCACCCATCCCGCTTGTGTGCCACAGTGCCGGCCTTCACAGGTGCACTTGCTCCCAACAGTGTGCTCAAGGCTATACGGGGAGGGGGATCTTTGTCTTCATGAGTGTGAATGTATTGGCACAGTGGGGAGGAGCACAGGTGGTGCATCTGTCAGTCATTTGCTTCCACAGTCGTGACTCTTATATGCAAGCTCTACGCGTCTTTCTCTCTGTCTTACAGGGGGGGGGGGGTCCCCATTAGCTTGCAGGACGAGAAGGAGGTCGTGGGACGCATTCATTCGCCTTCCCAGTCGTCAACCCTAACAGGTAAAATTACGTTTGATCGCCCTGCGCTCCGGCATTCATCACTTCTGTGGCAGCCGCTGTAGCAGCAACAGGAGCCACATGATGAGAGAGATGAGTTGCGGATCGCTGAGCGAATGTCGACCCAACATCTATCACCCCTTTCTGATGGCTCCTCAACCTCCGAATGGCGGGGATACAAAGGCGGCCGGGCGTAGTGCTTGGTCACACCCCCCCCCCTTCATGTGCCTCAGTGCCGGCCTTCATAGGCGCTCTTTACAGACAGCCCTCACCCCGACAGCCTCTGCAAGCTTGACAGCTGGGTTGGTGGGGGGGGCGAGGGAGCTCTGTTTTAGTCTTTAACAAGGCAGAATGTGTTCAGGTTTTTGAATGTCAATGTAGAAGTCGCAACCAACAAGGGGACTTTAGGATGGGGTTTGTAGTTTCGCGCTCTTCCTCTTTTGAAGGGGAGCGCAGGCTACAGTGGGTTTACTGCAAGGTCCACTTCATCTCTGTCGAGTGGTGTGGCTTCAGTGACTAAGTGTGTGGGGGTGTATCAGCGCGCTTCGCTATTAATTCCTGCAATGGGAGTTCTATTTCCGCTCACGGCTAACACCAATGACGATTATCCGAAGCAGTCCGTGGCCTCTTTAGGTTGAAATGGCCTTTAATGAGTACCTGGTGCTGTGTGTAAACATTATCACTCGGGAGACGAAGGTGGTCGGGCGTGGTGCTGGCCACCCACCCGTTCGTGTGCCTTGCTGGCCTGCATAGGTGTTGCTCGCTAACAGCACTTGCCCCAACAGTCTGTTAAGGCTATGAAAGGGATCTTTGTCTTTAAGTGTCTCTTCGTGTCTTTGCGTGTATAAACAGGCCGGTGAATGTGGCGTTAAGACTCATGGCAACGTCCTACTGAGGAGTGATGGAGTACACAGACCCACAGGTTGGTGTGTGTATGTGTAGAGGGGTGAGCGTGTGAGTGTGAGTATTTGTGTCTGTAAGTGACTGCGTTGGTCGTCGCTGGGCTGTGATGAGCCAAGAGGTCAGGCTAGAGTCTCTGAGTCTCCCTGACGACAAGTCGACCCACTGAGCCCAGTGATGCAGTGAGACTCGGAGCAAGTGTGGTGGTATGCCTTTGGTATCTGTGTGTGTGTGTCTGTCTGTGCGGCAGGGAGCGGTAGTGCATTGGCAAGCGCAACCGCGCTACGAACCCAGTTACCAGAGCAAGTGCTAAGAGCAGTTACCCTAACATTCTCTCAAGGCTTTACGTGACATCGATGTGTACTGGGTAATAAACTGGAGGAAGCTTACTCTGAGGCAACACGTTTATTATAACATTAACAGGCTACAACACAAAGGGGTAATGGCCCCTTTCACCCGATAGCCTAATGGAGGTAGTTCCTCCAGGCGAACCCACCTCTTACTGATTACACTGCACCTATTCTGACGGAGGCGAGAATCTTCTCTTGGATCTTCACTGGTTATAAGCTCGGAGCTTCACTGGTACAGCTCAAGCCTCACCTTAGCCAGGGGTTCTGCTTTGCCCACAAGGCTCTTCTCTCTTTCAGGGCTCCAGGTTGATTTTCAGTCTTCAGCTGGACGATACTGAGCTGAGCCGTTCAGGGACCTCGCTTAAATACAGGGTCCCGGCTCACTCCGCCCCTGGCCACGCCTCCCTTCCAGAACTTTTTCTAATGGCCTGGAGAATGACCTCATGCCCCAGCCCCCTCTGTTGTAGGGAGCGCAGGCTACAATGGGTTTACTGCAAGGTCCACTTCATCTGTGTCAAGTGCGTGCCTTAAGTGACTAAGTGTCTAAGTGTGTGAGAGTATCCAGCGTGCTTCGCTACAAATTTCTGCAAGGGGAGATTATTCCCGCTCACGACTAACACCAATGACGATTATCTGAAGCAGTCCGTGGCCTCTTCTAGGTTGACACGGCCTCTAATGAGTACCTGGTGTTGTGTGTAAACACCATCACTCGGGAGACAAAGGTGGTCGGGCGTGGTGCTGGCCACCCACCCGTTCGTGTGCCTTGCCGGCCTTCATAGGTGCTGCTCGCTAACAGCACTTGCCCCAATAGCCTGTTAAAGCGATACAGAGGAACCTTGTCTTTAATTGTCTCTTCGTATCTCTGCGTGTATGTATGAACAGGCCGCTGAATGTGGCGTGAAGAATCACTGCAACACCCTCCTGAGGCGTCTGATGGAGTAAACAGACCCGCAGGTTTGTGTGTGTGTATGTGTACAGGGGTGAGCGTGTGAGTGTCTGTGAGTGTCTGTGTTTGTGAGTGACTGTGTTGGTCGTCGCTGGGCTGTGATGAGCCAAGAGGTCAGGCTAGAGTCTCTGAGTCTCCCTGACGACAAGTCGACCCACTGAGCCCAGTGACGCAGTGAGACTCTTGAGAGACCGTGTGAGCGCGCGCATGGTGTGAGAATGTGTATTGGTTAGTGCACTCTTCCACCAACCCGGAATTCTGAGTATTATCCCCCACCTCACGACCAGTAACTGGTGAATATTTGAATTGGTCTCGGGGCCCCCCTCCTCGGTGGACTCGGCCTTCAATGAGAGGACGTAATGCGGTGTGTTGTGTGCATTAGTTAGGCAAGCACAAATAGTGGAGCGCGGCAAGGTTACGAATGACTGCATCGGAGCGAGGTGTCAGGCGGGGCCGCATATTCCCCAAGGCGGTGGTACCCTGTATAGCACTCTTGAGTCACGCTGTTCGATTGTTATCGTGAGTAGACCTCTACCTGCCACATCGTCTCTTTTCCTTCTCTGGCATTATGTTATTGTTTTCTATGCTTCATGGTATGCATAAACCAATGGACACACTAGAGTATATGTTCCATTAGTTAAATATGGGTAAGTGTCAGGGTAGATATTCAATAAAATAAAGAATCAAAGGAAGTGCAGAGCGCATGTACAGTAATAGGTAGTAATAGCAAATGGGCAACAGCGCGATACAGTAGAGAGAAAAAACGCTAGGGGAGGCACAACTTTTTCCGGATATAGGATTTTATCTTGATTTGGGGGGAACATTGTTCGGTTTCCGACATGCAGAAAACTCGGGTTGCGGATATTTCTCGGGGAACACCCTGACCCTTTGGTAACCCAGGGGACTGTCTGTACATATGTTGAACTTCTTTCGAACCGTTGGTAACCGTACGCTTTGGTTCTTTCGGTAAAGTCACGTAGGTAGTAATAAAATAAAATAAATCGCGAAGTTTCGATCGCAACACAAGCGACCGTCATCAGTCGGAACCGATACAGTAGGACAACTGCCGATTTAGGGGAAATATCTGCTAACAACCAAGAGCTTATAAAGGGTTTTGGTTGGCTCAACCCCAGGGGTAAGTGGGCGGAGCTAGAGAAGGAAGAAAGGGGGGGAGGCAAGGAGGGGGGGGGGGGGAGTTGGGCCGAGGTATTCGATGGAAGGTAGAGAGAAGCTGGGTTAGTGATGCTCATGTGAGAAAATTAGCGTGTTAATGATACAGGATGCTGCAGCGTTGGCTGCCGCGCTGTGAGATAGGTCGGTAACCAAAACGTGCTAGTCGGAGGTGCGAGGGAAGGACAACTAAACACAACAACAATCAGTCCTAAATAAATTGGTTATAAATGTAGTCTAGTAGTGTCGTATATATCAGTGTAGCACATAGTGTAGTGCCTAGTATATTGTAGTGTGTAGTAGTGTATAGTGTAGTATATAATATACTGTGTAGTCGTGTAGTGTCTAGCAATTTGCAATGTATGTTGGACTTCTTTTGCGCCGTGCGTAGCCAACCGTGCTAATCGTGTGGGGAAAGCATAAACTAAACACAACAAGCAGTTCTAAAGAAATGAGTTTGTCAATCTAGATGATTTAAAAGTGAATAGCTCCCAGCAGCTTCCTAATATTGGAAGGAAGGAAAGCCTTCCTGACGGACATGTCATGAACAGCCCTGTGGAGACAAAGGTGACCTGGCGTGGTGCTGGCCACCCACCCTCTCGTGGGCCGTGCCGGCCTTCATAGGTGCTCGTTAGCAGCACTTACCCCAATAATCTGTTCAGGCTACATGCGGGAACTTTGCTTTTTGCGCGTGAGTGTGATGTGTATGAATGTGTTTGTGTGAGGATTCCACTGCTGTGCCTATCTCTTGGCCCGCTCCGTCCCACCTCACACGATGCAATATCTTCCAGGTTCTCAGCAGTGAGCAGTGCACCACCCTGTATGTCAAGAGAACAACGGCTGCAAGTGGACGTACCTGAACTACAACTGACTCTCGATTTACGTGCTAATGACGGGGAGGACAGCCGCGGACGATTCAAGATCACAGCTAATCCAAAAATATGCATTTTCTGTGGATCTCCATGCCAAAAACTAAATTATCAACTGATCGATGCGCGTGCTCACTGATGACACGTTCCTGCTCCAGCCTAGCAGAAGACTCGGCCCACTAAGTGGATGACAGCAGAGCCACACCAATCAACATCAATCAAACTCCACCCTCTGTTGTAAAGATGTTGCAGCGACTGTACTGTAGAGGAGGCCACGGATTTCGGATTAACCGAAGCAACTATATCTGTTTGGTTTAAGCATGCGACTTGTAAAACATTTCCAAGAATAACAATATTACTTAGATGATTAATTTGGGCTTAAGGGAAAATCCGCGAGTTATTAATTTGTCAAAATCTCAGGTGCGTGGTTAATCCGCGAATCGGATAAACCGCGTGCAGATAATCGAGAGTCTACTCGAGCTCCTGAGACCTGTTCGTAAGTCAAACTGTTTGTAAGTCGGAACACAATCATGATGCACTATTTCAATGCCCCCATACGAAGCAGTGTTATGAAATGTGTTCCAGTTCATAAGGGAAGCATTGTTAAACAAGATACTGTACATTTGCATGTAATTTGGAAAAACAATAGTAAATAAAACAAAATAACAAAAATATTTTCACTTACCTTGAGTCCTGATGCTGGCCACAATTGCACACACAAACGGATACACACGCAGGCACACTTGGGGGGCGCGTGTGCACACACTACCAGCAACGTTACCCCGTATAGCCTTAGGCTGTTGGGAGCAAGTGCTGTGAGCGAGCACCTATGAAGGACGGCACGGCACACGAGAGGGTGGGTGGCCAGCACCACGCCCGGCCGCCTTTGTCTTCCTAGTGGCGATGTTTACGCACTGCACCAGGTACTCATTTGATGCTGAGTCGACCTAGGGGAGGCCCTGGACCGGTTTAGATCGCTGTCACTGGTGTTGGCCGTGAGCTGGAATCGAACTCTGGTTGCCTGGTTCGTAGCGCAGCGTGCTAACTGTTGCACTACACCTCCCCACTGGCATCCATGAGCCTAATGTGAACGTCCACGCGTTCCCGCGACCACTTGCCGGTCACGTCAAGATGCCCGCGTTCCAGTTCAACCCTTTGAGGCTGCATCTTGAGACATGGCCGTGAACCCCCCCGTCCCTCCCCTTCCACTGGGGTGAGCTGAAACGGCGGCATTTGATCGGAGGTTGAAAAGTAACTCGCTGCCGGTTGCACTTCTTCACCGTGTCACTGCCCGTATTCCAGCGCCGTGAAGGCAGTGTGGGTTGGTGGATCTTCGCACTAAAAGGTTGCCAATGGTGGCCAGGGAGATGTTAACTACCCCGCCTGGCATACAGGAAGTCGTTGGTTCGATCCAGACCCTGACGCCAGTTGTATAGTATCACGGTGGATCGGGAAATGTTAACTGCCCAAAATTATTGGCTGTCGCTAGCCGAAGTAACTGGCCAACACCAGTTACATTTATAAGAACGGTTTCGTAATTAAGATGGTTGTAATTACCAGCGAAACGTCACTACTCGCATTCTTTTGGTCTTTGGTTAAAGTCATGTAGATAGGTTCAAATTAATAAAAATAAAAAAGCGGTCATCCGGAGAGAAAAGGGGGTAAGCCTCTAAATGCAGAACGGAGTGGGCGGGGCACAAGAGTCGAGGCCAGAAATGGATAGAGCATCCTATAGAGATGGAATCTAGGCCATGATAGAGCAAAAGCTATAGAGATGGAGCTTAGGCCAGTAGTGGATAGTGCATGCAATAGGCATGGTGTACTAGAGGTAGTCTAGGACAGCAGTGGATAGAGCAAGCTATAGCCAGTAGTCTAGGCCAGCAGTGGATAGAGCAAGCTATAGCCGTTAGTCTAGGCCAGCGGTGGATAGAGCGGGGCTCCTCACCTCAGCTCTCCACAGCGGTTGCAGGTGGAATGAGTGGAGAAGGTTGCGTGAGGGGTTAAAAAACTGAGCATTGGAGAATGTTAAAAATGGAAACATTACAGCAGTTCTGACTTAAACTGGTTGATAACGACCTTCCAGTGATTGCTGAGTTTGTACCCATCATCTCAGTTGAAATTATGTATATGTTTGTATATATGGATGGCTTCATGAACAAATCTTTGTTGACAGCCAGTGGGCTTGCAAAGTGCCTTCGTCTGAGAGAAATCAATTTAGTGTGAGCCAACCACGGACCAAGTTCGTCCTGCCGTGTTTCAGATCTACCTTATGTTCACGAACATGGTCCGAGACATTTTGATTTAAAGCTTTCGTGACTGTAGGAATTCATATTCTTGGTTCTATCGGTAAAGTCACATAGAAGGGAAACAAAATAATAAAAATATAAAACAATTAAATTCTTACGACGTTTCGACTGCAACACAAGCAATCATCATCAGGTGTGAAAACCACAGCAAGAAAATTTGAAAAAAGTGGCGGTTATTTTTAACGTCAGCACCACGGAGAGTGATTTGACAGTTTGTTAAGAAACAAACTGAGGGCACCTCAATGAGCTCCCCCTATCTCCGGTTGTAGCCAACATTTTCATGGAGAAATTTGAGACTGACGCCATCCAGACTGCCACTCTACGCCCAACCTTATGGCAGAGGTACGTGGATAACACTTTTATCATCTGGCCACATGGCCGGCCTGCTCTAGACCAATTCTTCAACCACATCAATTCCATACACCCAGCCATCAGATTTACCATGGAAGTCGAAAAAGATAGCAAGCTACCTTTTTTTTGGATGTCCTAATAAAAAGAGAAATGATGGTTCAATGAGCCACCCTGTCTACAGGAAAGCTACCCATATGGATGCTTACCTGAAAACGGATTCCCACCACCATCCATCCCAGAATAAATCCCTCATCAAGACTCTGCACCATAGAACCCAATGCATATCCGACCAGGAACACATAGCCAGCGAACTCAAGCACGTACACCAAGCTCTTAAGGCTAATGGTTACTCCAATTACACAATCCGCAAAGCTATCACTCCAACCATGAAGAAGGACCCTCTTGAGGAGCCTTTCAAAACCATCACTTTACCCTACATTGCGGAGATCACAAAAAAGATCTCCAAAATCTTGAATAAACACAAGATCCAGGTCCGATTCAACACATTACATAAAATCCTGATCTGGTTCCGTCTGTAAAATATGTGATTCCGGACATACAGTACCCTGGCGTCTACAACTAAGTTGCCTCTGTGGTAGTAGTTACATTGGAGAAACCAAACGACATGTCTCGGACCGCATTCGTGAACACAAAGCAGACCTAAAACACGGTAGGACCAACACCTCGGCCGTGGCAGATCAGTGTTATAATTCAGTAGGCTCACATGACATTGACTTCTCCAAGACCGAGGTTCTTTGCAAGCCATCTGGCTACCATGAGAGATTAGTTCATGAGGCTATCCACATATACAAACACAGAGACAATTTAAAGCGAGAAGATGGATTCTGGTTTAGCAATAATTGGAAGGATTTGATAAACTATTTCGGGTCTTAATTGATTGTTCACGCTTACGGTGGCTTTCAGACCGCATCCATTATTTTCGGCCGCCCCCCCCTCCTCTTTTCCGAACATAGATGGACTCGTCCATCTGAACAAACTGCACTTTATGCTAATTCCTTTGTCAAAGCATTTGGTTTCCTCCCACACAGCTTAAAGGACGCGACCTGGCTTGACTTTCTTAATTCCAATTAAAAACAACGTTTGCATTGAAAGTTGTATTCTACATCGAGTGACAGCTCCCACCAGCAGCTGCAGCAAGAGAGGAAGAGAGAGAAAGAATGACGAGCAACGACAAGCAATCAACCTGGAGAAAGGGCAGAAAGCGCCAAATATCGACCAAGCGAGCATCGCACAGGACCAGCAGCAGCTAACGACTAACCACGACCACGCGGACTCGGAAGCCGAGCACATTCCTGCAAAGGTCGAGTCTACAAGGATCAACCGTGCCTGGTGCAAGGGAGAGAGCGTGACCGGCGCAACCGAGAATGAGTGGCGGCACTGGCGAAGGCGCCGGGTGTTCGACACACACACATCGACGCAGCGCTACCAAGAAGGAGTGTTGGCGCTAGCGACCAGCGGACGAGCTGCGAGCGCTATCGGGCACTGCCGAAGGCGAGCATCGTGCCGACTCAACAATCATCCGGCAGTGGAGAAGCCTGGAGCTGCCGCCAAGAGAGAGAAAGGGCGCCGTGTGTATGACACGCCCACACACGCACACGACTCATCGCCCAGGATGGGAACCGAACCGAGGTATTCTCGCTACAAGGAACGCCCCACCTCGGCGCCCTCTTAACTCAAAGAGTTGAGCACGAAGACAATACACCCACACACACATAACAGGCATATCGGGATTAATAAGATTGCTCCAAAAGTTATCTTCGTGTTTAAGGTGTTGCGTTAACTATTAGCTGATCGTGAAAAAACATTGTTCGGTCAATTGAGCTGCATGAATATGGTCATTTAGAAGTATTTTAGTCATTCGGTTCGTTAATTGCATAGCTTTATCAATGAATTCATTGACGCTAAACTTTTTTAAGCATCGATGTTACGAATCTACACACTCAGAGGAATGCTATTTTGTTGAGATTTTTTTTCTTTTGATCACGGAATCTTGCCCGCGATTCAATTGAAGCCCATTAGCCAATTGATAAGCATCTATTAGGCAAACAGGCTCACTGCCGCACACTATTGTTCCAGGGCATTTCCTTAATTGTATCATCTTACCAATGAATTAATTGAAACTACTTTTGCCTTGGGCACATGTTTTTTTTACTACTGGTCGTATGAATATTGTTCCATTAATTTTAAGTACTTTTTCCTATCGCCGTGTATGCTCGCTTTACTTTGAGGAATTATCCGATTGTTCTGTTACCCAGTTTAACAAATGTAACCATTGAGGGTTATTGGTACGGATCAATGAGTAGGATATCTCGAGGAGTACTGTGTTGACAATTTCGAGCATAAGAGTTCAGATATTCGAGTGTTTTTAGATATTAAAGTTGTTTAACACAAAAGAGTCTGAGTGGTGCCTTCCTAAGTTAATGCATAATAATCTTAATTTTAAGAACTGTATCCTGTGGTGAGATCTGAATCCTGAGACCTGCAATACACACACTAAAACATAATCACTAAAAGTTAAAGCGAGAATCATTGTATGATCACGATTGGTAATACACCCGAGACAACGAAGCAGAGCCTAATTAGTATAAATGCATAATCTGCAAAATAACAATAATTAGCATAATTTAGGAAAATTACACATTTTTTTAATTTTCTTTTCATTATTTTTTTCTTTTCTAGACCTAATATATACAACAAACTCCACATCGACCAGCCACCCCCATTAATATTCATGAGCAGGTGACATCCTCCAAATGGACACCCCCCCTCCATTCATAATAATAGCGGCTGACGTCACTCCACATGGGGGGCCGAGGCGCCTCCTCCTCCCTCCTTGGCGTCAACTTGCAACCCTCACTTCAAAGGCAGAACCCTCATGTCACGCGATCTCCCTAATGCTGAGACATCAAAGTAAAACATACGTCATGATGGACAAGGGATTATAACTTTACAATTAAATAGGTCTCTGTCACCGCGCCCTTACAAATTGCAATCGAATTAATGCAA